CCAGCATGCACCTCTAATATTAGTCTTTGTAAAATGCCTTTGAACAGGTTTATCAAATTGGGTGAAAAACCTTCAGGTGATCTTAAAGCAGTTCCAAGATTCTCTGAGAAACATCACTCTGCATTCTAAAAAGAAAATACTTGGTGCAAATCTAGCTAGCACTTAGACATAAAGGAAAAGAAAAATGCTATTTAATAGGCAAGATCTGTAGAAAGAAAAAATCCCAAACCCCAAAATCAACACAGCTGCATTCTTTGAAGTTCGGGTTCAAGGAATTTTTGCAAGTCAGAAACAGCTGAGTATTGTGAAAGGATTCCCAAGCTGTTTGCAGCAGTTCAGCTCCTGTAAGGCAGGAAATTGAGGTTTTGATACTGGCTGCACCTGCTAACAGCTGTCTGGCCAGCAGCTGTTTCCTCTTCCCAAACTCCTCCTAGAGTACCTGTGGTCTAAAAAGAGAAGGGGCAAGAAACAAGAGCACCAAGTTTGGCTGGTCCAAAGAAAGACACCCTATGACTGAGAATTGAAAGTACTGTTTTGTGACAGAGCTGGAAAACCTACAGGTTATCCTGCAATCAACCAGAAACACTGTAGAAGAACAAAAAGCTTCAGTAAAGTGTTGGCTCTGCAGCTACAAAATAAAACACGCTTCTAGTGAGTGAGAGGATGTGAAAGATTATCCAAGGGAAACATAACAAAACCCAAAACAATAAAAAATAAAAACAGAACAAAACCAAACAAGAACAACACCACCACAATGCATCAATCCTGTTGCATCTGTTGTATTAATATTTTAATAGCTGGGGAAAAAAAGGGGTAGCAGTTTCCAGTATTGAGATGTTACAATAAAAGTACTTCTAATAGAAATCAAAACCACATTCTAACAAAAACCTAAGTTTTAAATATTCTCACTGTGTATAATTTTATTTAGAACTAGATGCAAGTTCAGTATTTCCACTAAGCCTATACAGTACTCACAGGCTACCCCTATGAAAAATTCAGGCTCGTAACAAACTCATTGTTCAAGATTACATGGCCTGGAGAATAAAAAAGGTGTTTTAAAGCAGGAAGAAGCTTGCCTTCAATTTCATTCTGATATTTTAATAAAGACCACTCTTACCTGCAAAGCTGCTGTTGATTCTTCACTTGGCAGGGAATCTATCAGAACATCAATATCTTTCGCAGTTCGTGCAATCAATGCTGCAAATAGCTGGGCGTACTCTTTAAGAAAAGACAAGGCAGCCTACTCAGTACAGGATCAGAAATCAGCACAGCTCTACACACAGCACAGGAAGTTCTGCAGACCTGAAGGATGCAGGTGTTAAAAATTCTCCTACATGAACAACAGTATTGCAACTGATAGGAACTCAATGACACTAGAAGGCAGATCGATTCCAATCCTAGATTAAACAAGGTAACTGGTTATACAAAGGGCAGGGCTCTGTATAAACGAGAAAATAGTCAGAACTCCATCATGGTTAGCCAGTTAAGAAATTACTGATAGCAGCATTAAGCATCCTAGTCACTACGTAAAGTATTGAGAAGTACCTAAAGACTAACTTTTCAGCCCTTGCCTTGAAGTTTGCCACTAGACTAAAAAAAGGATACAAAGATGGTGATTCAAATAAGATGGGTTATTTAAATCATGCTAAGCTACAGGTCACTGGTGAAAGAATTTGGGGGTTTATGGTTTAAAGAAAAAAAAAATCCCTATTCAGCCACAGAAAAAGTGAATTTGCCCCTGAGAAATGTTGAAGTATTGGAAGTTTATAGCAGACCTTAATTTAGCTGCTACATCATTGAAAGAACTGCATGGACTTTTAATACGAGGCACCAGAAACCAGAAACAAAACCTTCCCATATGGAATTGCATCCATTCATTTTGAATTAAGTTCATTACTACCAGTAAAATACTGGAATAGCCCTTCTCAATTATAATTTAAGTTCTTAGGTATTTGTTTATATTGTTTGGTTCCTGACTGATTTGTGGAAGTAAGAGAAAACACCTTCTAATGGCAAAAATCTATAGCAGAGACTGACATTCTCAAATGTACACTTAAAAAACAAAACAAAACTAACAGGAAAAGCAGCATATCTACTTAAAGCTCGCTCAGGGTCACCACACGGTTTACCTGTAGAGAGTTTTAAGGCCTTTTTATTAAGACTTCAAATATCTAAAGACCATTAACTGGTATTTTTGGTTTTCCTCATCAGGACGGCTAATATGGGTGTATGGTTTTACTGAAGTCACTGTACTCAGAATTTTAGGAAAAGATAAATCAAAAGAGCAGTCAGTCATGACCTACTGTTCTAATACCTTAACAAAGCCTCTATCTAGCTTCTGGCAGCACACTGGTGCCAGCACTTGAGAGAGCAGCAGGGAAAATGAGGAAGCACACAAGCGTTTCATGTGGCTCTCCAAACTAATCCAGTATCTGAGAGCAAACCAATACAGACCAATGAAGAACTAGTATTTACATGTCCTAGAAACTGCACTCCAAACTCCCAATATCCTAATAGACAAACCTCATCTGATACAAAATACATGTAAAATATTTTCAGCAGGAGGAGGGGAGATATATTAAAAAAAGAAAAAAAGATTCAGGATTGGAATAATACAGTTATTTAAATATTAACTTGAAATTCTCAAATCAGAGAGAACTTTTAGCTTGCTTGTTAACTGAGTGTCTTAGATCAATGAAAATGATCTAAGTGTTTCTTGTGCCTCTCAAAAACCCCAACCAGCCCCAAAACGGAACAGCCAACAGCAAAACCACAAATGCCAATGGGAAGATTCAACATTACTTATTTCTTAATTAAGTACATAAGCAGATAATACATGGAGAAACACAAATAATTAAGTTTATGGCACAGAGAATTTTAAATACGTATAATTTCATTAAAAAAATATTTCTTTCTAAAAAGACTTATTGGAAGTAATGGACAACTCACTAACAACTTCATGCATCTGTCTTATTAAACTGTTTACATCTGTAGAGCTACTGTGAAAAGAAACCATCTGTGCAAAGAAACCATCTGTGCAAAGAAACCAGCACAAAAAATACACTATAATGCTTACTTAACAATTAAAATTATATTTTCACGATCACAGTCTTATGAAGCAAATGCAGCTGACACCAGTTCATGACTTAATTTCAGTATCTCTACCAGATACCAGTGGAATTGTCTGCATGAAACAGAGCACAGACTTTGTATGTTACAATGTACCAGATCAGAACACGTTCACATTTTACTAGGATACACAGACAGACAGACTTGCCTTCCGTTGGATTAGCAGGCTGATCTTTATTTATTGCTGTCTGGATGTTGCTGAAGGAGGCTGGGGGGCCACACTGCTGGAGCACTCCAATGGCATTACAGAACTGGTCTGCGAGCTGCAAGCAGGGACGAGATCATAAACTTATTTCAACAATAAAGCTATTTCAGGTTTATTTTGCACCTTCTCCCCCAGTCCGGCGTTAGGTGGGAGCACACCGCCGCTAACCCGCGGTGACACCCCCACTTGAGGCTACAGGAGGAGGAATCGCTCTCCCTCACGCACTCAGCGGCAGAGGCCGCGGGGACAAAAGGGGACGCGGCCCCTCACTCCCTGTCGTAAGGGAGAGGGACGCGGAGGGAGAAGGAAGAGCCGTGCCCGCCTCACCGAGTTGACAGCGTCCTGCAGCTGAGTTAGCCTGTCCGCCATAGCTCCGCCGTCACCGCCCGCCAGACGGGTATGCAGCAGCCAATGGGGCGCAGCGACGTTCTGTGGGCGGAAGAGGGATGGGGGCGTGGCGAGGACCGCCTTCCGGTGGAGCAGGGCGAACATGGCGCGCCCTCTGCAGGCCGGGAGGTGCCCGTGGGCTGGAGAATGAACCTTTGCCACCCCGTTGGTCAGTCCCTGTCTGGTGTCGGCTGTAGTACAGCTTCAAGGGGCAATTGAGCTGGAGATCTCCAGGAGTTTCTTCTGCCTAACTCACTGGTGATGCTGCGTGTGCAGCCACTCAGCAGAAACACATATGTCACGAGACATTCTCCCTCACAGCTACCCTCCTTGCCATGATACCAATCAACCCAACCAAAGTGTTTTTGTGATGGCATGGTCCGGGTTAGCATTTTGTTGGCCATGTGCCAGTTTGGGCAGGGCCTTGAGCAACCTAGTCTAGTAGAGGGTGTCCCTGCCCATGTCAGGGGTTGGAACTAGATCTTAAAGTCTTTTCCAACCCAAACTATTCTGTGCTTTTTATGAATGAAGCCAAGGGTAAGCAGTTTGGATGCTGAGCTGTGAATAAAGAGTGGATGAGGTCTCAGCTCAACGATGGCAGTGGCAAACGCTAAATTTAACAGGATTTTAATGTCTCATGGATTTTGAATTACAGGAACCTTGTTCAGCAGAACACAAGTAACTTCAGCACACCAGATAACCTAATGGAGATCAGGATCCTGAGTATGGCAGGCAAAGGCAGGAAGAAGAAAGTGCACCCATGTATCTGGAACAGCTACAAACATGGAGCAGCACCCATTTCTGTGTTCTTATGCCAGACTGACAGTTTCCTTTTCCCCCTTCAACTGGAAACCAAAGCAAGCTGCAGAAAGAATAAATGCAATGGGGTGATCGATTTTAGAGCCTAGGTTATGATGCAAACTCGCAAGTGAGGCCCAAATAACAAAGTGAAAACACACCCCCAAAAACGAAGTATTTTTAATTTGCCTTCTGTTTCCTCCTACCATGTGCTCATGAATCATCTTTACAGCCAGAGACGCCTTGAACACACGCCTGGGAGCCCCTGAGGGTTAGCAGCGTTTCTCACTGCCGCTTATGAGGCAAAACCAAATGGCAGCTGCTTTAAAAATTAATAAATAAATAACCATTTTAAAATCCAACCCTCCCGACCTGGACACTTGTTTAAGATACTTGTACGCGCTTACAAGTACACACAGCTGGCGGACGCGACTTGGGAGGATAAAAGCCGTCGAGGGCGGCGTTTGGGGTCGCTACCTCAGCGCTGAGGTGGGTGAGGGGATGTTGGGAACGGCCTCCGCCGGGTGGGTCCTGTGGGGCGGTGCTGAGCCGGCGTTTGTGCTGCACCGCCCCTCAGGGCCTGCCTGGCTCAAGCCCCTCCTAATCGCCTGGGCTTGCTCACACCCTACTGTCCCATTCCCTTCACAGCGCCATGAGGCTCCCTCTTTGCGCAGTGGTGCTCTGTGGGCTCCTGGGGGTCTTCCGTTATGGTGATGCCTCAGGTAAGCGCGGCGTGGCGGGGGGGCGGGTGTGCGGGCCGTAGCCGCCATTAAGCGGCCGAAGGGCTGGCGAAGCGCGGGTTCGAGCGGGGAGAGTGAGTTTTGGGGCGAGTGGAGGTCTAGCGGGATGGAGGGGAACGGGGTTGAAGGGTCAGTGGAGCCTTCTGAGGGGTGCTGCAGGCGGTAGTGGGTCGACCTGCAGGTGTCTGGAGGCTTGAGATCAAAGCGAAGACGCAGCTGTCTGGAGAGCTGGAGAGAGTTCGTTATATTCATTCTTATCGTCGTCTTTGTGGGTAGGGAGACATTACCCCTCTTTTTTTCCTACCTTAATCGATATGAACACCATCAGTTTAGCTCCTACATGGATATACAGGGCTAATTTTACCCGGGCCATTGCAGAGATACGGTACAGGCTGATGAGCCTGGTGTAGAGCTGTTTCTGTTAAACAAAAGTGGTGTTCTCTACTTATGAGTGTATATGAGAAAGGGATTATGGTTAATAGTGGGATTTTTGTGTTTTTTTTAAACCACATGTTGGGTCCTAGCACCCAGTGAATTGTGGGCTGGAAACCACTGCCAGTATAAAACTAAGGAAATAAGCTCTTTCTCCTTCCTCCTGCCCCTAGAATTTGAATCTCGATTAATAAGATTACTTTTTGTCCATGCCGATGTAATTTGACTTTATTTGACGTGGATTTTTTGGCAATTCCCATGTGCCTGCGTGTGACTAAAATAGGTGTCCAGAGGTAAGTGTACTGTAAAGAGTTTAGCTGGTGAAGATTTAAGAGTTGCTTACTTTTTTCTGGTTAAATTCTTATCTGTTCAAATGAGGGAAAAAAATAATTGGTTTCCTTTCAGAGATAATTCAGAGATAAGCAAGCAGTCCTTTATGTTAGGGCTGATGTAAGCCTCCTCTTCTTACAGTTTTCTTTATTTTTAAACTTGCCTTTAATGAAGCTTAATTGACCAAAAGGAAAAATCTACTCTTGGGATACTTTGCAAAGCTGCAGAACAGTGTTTGGAACCAATCTCAAGTGCGGAAGACTTCTCTTTCTCCCCCACCCAGAGTCTCATGCCCAGGATCTTAGAGGAGAGCCAGGTGTGTCCCTGCTGCCTGTAGAACCTAGACTCTTAGGCTTGGCTGCTGATGGTGGCAAGCAAGTCTGAGAATGAAGGCTCAATGTTGTTGGATTGTAATGTTTATACTAAAAGATGGTGACAAGCAGTGTGTCTCCTGGACTTGATTGAAAATGGGTCATGTGTTTATTTTTATTTTTTTGTTACAGTATGTTAAAAGGCAGAATGAACATGGGACAGAGCTAACTGCTCTACCTTGAAGGAGCCTGTTGCTGTATTTCCTTCTAGAGTCGAGGGTGGAGGGTGAAAGTATTCTCCTCCTGAAAGGCTACTAAGCTGTGTAATTTGTGTATGAACAGCTATTATTAGGCCCTTTAAGCGAGGACACTTGCTTAATGGTTCACTTACTTGAAATTGTCTTGTGGTTATCCAGTGGTTTGTAGGGATGGGCACTGCTATGTCCTAATACTAAAAGATCTTCCTTCATTTAAAATGTGCAGATAAGTAAAATCTATGCATGACAGCCAATATTAACTCTCTGGGGTTCTGATGTGCTGCTTCAAGCTTTGTATTTGTGCAGAAGTGTTCTGTATCATGTTTGTTACCTTCCAGGGAGCTCCACCTTTATGAAATAGGATTGCAATTGGCCTTGTTTGCTACATCTAAACCAGATTGGAAAAACTAAAGCAAATTTACAGGATAATTGGGATTGAGCTCCCTTTTGCAAAGGGAGCTTATCTGGATGAACTTAATTTGTGCTAGCTGTTTACTCTATCCAAAGACAAAATTTTAAAATAAGAGGTTCGTGCAAAGCTGTTTAGCTGCCTGAATGTATTGGTCAGCTGGCCACTTGCATCTTGATGCTCTACTACCTAGATGTGCAAATGACTTCTTAATCAGCAGTACCAGCAATATGACTGAGGCCAGGTCTTGTGTGTTCTGGTTGATAGTGGGTTAGTAAAACTGTAAGCAGGTGAGACTGGTGCTTCTTCTCTTGCTTCTCAGACTGTAGACCTCATGACTTCTAACATGGTGAAGAGTCTTCTGGTATGGGAGTGGTGCAGTTGATAACAAGACAAATTCTATAGCCCTATCTACTTCATGCATCAAACTGTCCTATAAACATGAGTCTCAGTTCACATGCAATTAAAATTTAGAAGCTTACATAAGTCTTGCTTCTTTTGGGGTGGGTATAGTCTTTATTTGGGGTTCTACTACTGTGGAAAGACGGAGACCTTGTAACAGGACTCTGCCATGTCCATATATATATGGCCTTGCAGGTCTGATACAATATGGCTGCTGTCTTTATTCTGTTAAGTAACTATACTTATGTTTTCCCTATTCAAACTAGTTTTGAATCTGACCTTGCATTTCATCTCCATTAAATGTCTTCATGTGACTACTTGTTTGCATACTCCCTATGCTGGAAGGTTCTTGCCTCTTAAATCTTGCATAATCTTATTCTGTATATCCATTGACAATTGGTTGTTACAGAGTAGAAATGTGTTTCCCCTGACTATAGAGAACTTCTTTATCTGAGGCAAGCATAATGATTGAGCATGGCTCTGTAGGTAAATACTCTTCCTATATGAGCAGCAGTGGTATTTCTTCAGTTGTGCTTCTTAATGGAAACTGGACTGCTAGATGTCATCATGGACCTTGTGTGGTTAACTGTTTATTGGTGATGGGGAGTGGCACTTGACTATTGGAGTTGGAAATGTGACTTCGAGCATCAAATGAACTGAGCTTGGCATTGAATCAGCAGAATGGAAATGGTCAAAGCTGGGTATTGCTTGTTGGGGAAAGTGCATGTCACAGCAAAGGGATGACAAATGTTGGCTCTGAAGTCAACTACCTTGTTGCTTAGAGTTATGAATAAGGGGGTTTGATCTCAAAGGAGCTCTGGGAGTTTTCATTCCTTTGCTCTCTTTACTGGTTTTGCCCTTCATGTGAGAGAAAAGATATGAGGAGTGGCAGACTGCACTGCCTATCTCTTTTCATCAGTTCTTTTATATGCTGGGTTATCTGTGTTCCTGTTCTAGTATTGCTACTAGTATATGAAGTAATACATGCTCAGCACTCCATCTTCTCTCTGCTCTTGCTTAGTTTCAGCAGTGTTGACTTCCTTTAAGTGTGTTTTCAGTTGATGATCCCTGTAAGGGTGAGGATTCCTGTCTTGTATCTAACCCAAAATACTCTGATGTGCAGTGACCATCTTACTTCTCCCTGCAAGGCAAGGAAGAGGCGATAGCCTGGCATCTGATGGGGTGTTTTCCAGCCCTTCACTCCTTGAAGCAAATGAAGCAATAAAAGAAGTTGGGATGCTTGGATTTTGTTTCTAGCTCCATTGCAGACTTACTAGGTCAACTACTTAACTTCTGTGGTGGTGTTATCTTTGCTGCATGTGCTGCTGAACCTGCAGTCCTATTTGGTGTGCTACCTTCAGTTTGATCAAGCTTGCCCAAAGAAGCAGCTTGCACACTGTGGTTGGCACCATGTGTTCATGGGGGTCTTGGTATCCGTCTTCCAAAGCATCTTTGATAACACTGAATTCTGTATGGCTCAGGTAGTCTAATGCTTGTCTGAGAACTTACATTGGAGGTAGGCCTGATGAATCATTAGTTGTTCTCCAAGCTCTTTGTCTGCCCTGGAGCACTAGTGGTGCTCCAGGGCAGATGTTCAAATGACAGAAAAAGAGAAGGCTGGAAAGGTTTATGGCCATGTAGCAGTTGCTCTTCTAGCAAAATTCTTAGAATCTACTCTGCAGTTCTTGTGAACTCTCCTTTTAGTTGTCTTTCAAGCTTGGTTAGAAGTGTACTTCAAGGAGCCTGTGAGCAACAAGCTGAAAAGACTTGTCAGATGGATGTGGGCATTCCTGTTATTCACTATGAGCCTGTGCTGTTCTGTCCAGACTTTAGTTTAAAATGTATGTCACATGCACTGTTTTAGAAGCACTTATGCAAACAGTAAAGCAATGTAGAACACTGTACTTTTAATTTACCACAGAGGGCCTCTGACATTTAGAGTCTCATGATCGTGTTGCAGTAGTAGCTGCACGTCTTGCTGATGAATCTGTTCTTGTGTTATGCAGAGGCCTCTGGGTATAAGTACAGAGTGGAGGTGAGAAATAAGACAGACCAGTTCAGTTTTCCCCCCACCGCCCTTGATGTAGAGCATAGAGAGGATGTATATGGTTTCAGCTTTTCTGGTTTTGGTTTTTTTCTTAAAAACGTCTACATGTGAATATCTGCAGTTCAGGAAACTGTGCTCAAGTTCTTAAAGAGCAAAGAAAAATATTTATTGCATTTTGAGCTTTCAATTAAAATTTCTAAGTACACAGATGTATAGTATGTGCCTTTTGAATTATTTTCTTTAGTATCCATACTGCTAGTTGCATTTCTAGTAGACTTAAGATCTAAGGACAGCAGAGGTCTTGTGAAGGGGAGGATAACCTGAAGGGGGACTCTGTCTATTTCCGAAGAATGCATAAAGCTTTTTTGTAGCTCTAATTTTACATTAATTACTATTTGAAAGCTTTGAGTAGGAACTTTTTCTACCTTAACACAAACTGCAGATGATGGAACAGAAAAACAGAATATTTTTAACTCCTAGATGGCATATGACCCCATATTTCAGCTGGGGTTTTATTGGTGAGGCTGTCCTACGGTTGGTTGAATTTTTGGGGTGGCATGTAGAGGCTGAAGTTGGCAAGACAAGAAGTGTTAGTTTTTTCCTCCACTGTGGGGTGAGTGGGGGAGGCGTGAGGATAGGAGCTCACCTTTAGCTATGTATTAACAGGCAAAGAAGCTGGCCAAAGATGCCAATTCTTGGCAGATGAGAGCCGGGGGGGGGGACGGGGACGGGACACACACAGCCCACTATATCCTTTTCTTTTCCTGGATGATCTGAATCATCAGCAACAGTGTATAAGGATGGTGCTGTTGATTACTCTGTGTTTCTGCTGGAGTACTCAACCCTATCAACTCTTTACACTGGAAGAGGCAACTTTATTGAGGAAGTGCTGTGTATGTGTTTAGGCTTGATAAGTTTTAGGTTTGCTGGGCTACAGTGTACACACAGGAATCTTGGCAAAAAAGCCTGAAAGGCATTGTGCGTGCTTTGTAAGCATCTGGTCTGCCTGCTAACCACCAACAAAAGAGAATCCTGTGGATTCTGTACAGCTGCTTCTCTTTCTTCCTCTGATATCCCTTGTCCCTCAAGAGCCCAGCATGCAGAGAAAACAGGCTTTCTAGCATGACTTGAATGACAAGCCAAAGCTGATTCTCAGAAATACTTATGTCCTAGGTCACATGGTTCTCTTTAAATGAAAATGATGGTGGATCATGGGGTTATGCTCATCATAAGAAGAAATTGCCTTGGTTGTGTCTTGCAAAAATTAATCAGATTAATTACTGGGTTACTGGAAACTGACAGACTTCCCTTAGTAATTGCTTCTCTCTGGACAAAAAAAGTGTCTTTTTTTGTTCTACAGGTCTTCTTGAGCTGTCCTTGGGAAAATTCAGAAATGTGCTACTTAACCAGACCAATCCAGTGGAAGCTGTAATCAGGAACATTGCAAGCAACGTGACTGTTGTTATTTTTCAAGTACATGCCCAGCAAAGCAATGTGGTGATATCCTTTGATAAGGTACGGTAAGAGTGTCACTTCTGTTCTTAAGTGCTACTTTTCTTTTAACAAAGGAGTTGGCCTTGGTACATGTAGGAATATAGAACTGAAGCTGTATAAATAATACTAATATAAAATAATACTATCTTAATACCTTCATGACTCTTGGACAGTATTATTTTGGCTTCAGAAATCCGTTCTTGTATAGCATAGCTGCTATTTTGGATGACAAATGCTAAAGGAATTTCAGAGCTGACTTGAAAATGTTTCAAGGCTTTTTGTTCTTGGTGGAAATGGTGCTTTTGACATATGACTGCTGACTACTATCCATTAGCTTGTAAAATGAAAAACAAGGTACATAATATTCTGTGAGAACTATTTTCTAGATATCTCATTAGCTAAACATGATTGCTTTGGGATGTTTAGCTGTCTGCTGTTTGTGGCTTGGATCTAGCCACTACAAATAGAATGTCTTGTTACTCCAGCTTTTTGTCCTGAATCTAATTCTTCTTTGATGGCACATGGAAAAACTAGTCCATAGTGCTCCAATGAAGGCTGTTACTTCTAGCCAACAATAGAAGCATTCTTACTGCTATACATTAGCCTCAGTTTGTCCCATCATTACTGGGATGCAATCATCTAAAATACTGGGATTTTTTTTTTTATAGTGCTGTGAGGCTCAAACAAAAGCTAGAATGTAGACTAAGCTGAAGGTGGTAGACAGAGACCTGACAGCTGCCATCCAGTTTCCTGCTCTCCATCAGGTTTATTCAAATGAGAATATATTGAGTGCCAAGAAGTATCCTGGGAAGCTCAGGAGATGGATAACCTGTAATACAAGTCACCCAACTCAGTCATCTTTGTACTGATGAAATAACCAGGATTACAGGGTTAAGGCATTACTGTTACACCTGTTCAGTCTTTGATTACCCCTGACAGAATCTTCTGCTGCCAATTCAGAGCTTCCTTGCAATTGACGTTACCAGGCCAAGGGCAGCGACGCATAAATATGGCTACACTGCTTTTAGGGCTGGCCTGCCTCTAGAAATAGGAAGCTAAGCCAGACCATAAAGTCTGCCATGTCTAAAGTGCTTCCTTACAGTGTTGCCTGATGAGTGGGGCCTTCTTGGGCAAAAGCACATTTTCCATGCTGAAAAACAGATTTGACTGCAGGTCAATTATTTGTTCAGCTGTGTGAGTGTGATACTGCCTCATCTTTCTTCAAGATCCCTGGTTCTAGAAGGGTTAGTGATGGTGGGGATTGGGTCAGTAGCTGAACTGGCCCCAGGCACTTGTCTGGCATGGCTAGTAATAAGCCAGCTGTCATACAGTAATCTTCATTCTGGTGGAGAGAATGAAGGGCTTCTGCACTTCCCAGAATGTACCATCCCTTGCTTTTTGTGGAGGATATTCCAGTCCCTTCACACTTCTAGTAGTCAGTCCATTGCTGTGCAGCAGTAGACTTCAACTAGCTGGTTTTCTCTCCAGCTTGCTTGTGATTATCAGCTCTTTAGTAGTGTCAACTTATCACTTGGGTTTTGAGCCTGAACTAGGCTGTGTGTGGTGTCAGAGGGCACTCCCTTTTTTCCATCTTCCTTTTATCAGCTAGCTAAGGACTGAGTGCCTCATCTGTGGTCACTGGCACTGAAATACATGCCCTGTGGGTTTGTGGCAGGAATGTGACTCCTGTACAATAGGTCAAGTTGTGTTAGAAATCTTTTCAAGAACTGCTTGGTTATATCATTTGTTTCTGTCCAGAATCCATCTGTGAACAGCTCAGGAACTGGAGTAGACAAAGGACTGGTTTCCATCCTTCGGCCTCAGCAGACCGTATGTACGTGGTACCTTCGGTCTCTGGATGCTAGCCAGGTGCTCAGCACAGCTATCTCTATTCCCTATATGGAGAAAGGTATGTTCTTATTACTCTATAAGGGATATCACCTCTACTTATTGCAAGCTAACTGTGAAAGGAACACCTCAAATGAACACCTTTACATGATGCAAACGTGTGATGGAGATGCCAGAAATTCTTTTGAGATGGTCTGAAAAAGTTTTAGTATCACTCACTGCAGAATTGAGTTGTGTATAAGGATGTACTGTATGGTCTTGTTATGACTTCAGCCTTAGAGTAGAAAACTGTTGTGTATGCATCAGGACCTAGCTTAGACTGCAGTGAAGCCACTTGTGCTGTTGGCAGGACTAGAAGTTGACAGTTTTATGTGCTTGGCAAGCAGGCTGTGCCAGCAAGTACCTTCATTGCTGAGGTCTTTGATTTTTTTTTTTTATTTTATTTGATTTTATTTATTTTTTCATGCATCTAAGGGGGAAGTAACAACTACTACAGTTATCTTTTCTGTGTTCTAGATCCTATTCCTGGAGGCTGCAATCTAGAGTTTGACTTGGAAGTGGATCCAAATATTTACCTAGACTATACATTGGTTGATACACACATCAAGTTTGCCCCTGCAAACTTGGGATATAACAGGTGTGTGAAAAACTGAGTGCACTGAGCAAGACCTTATTTGGCCAAGATAATAAAACAAGATTCTGCTGGAAAGGCTGACTATCCAGTTGCTGGCAGAAATCTTGTTTGCTGCAACAAACTGAGAGGTAAATGAGGAAGAGGAGGAGGAGAGATAATACATGAAAGAGATAGTTGAGATCTGCATCTTGTGGAAATGACTGTACAACTTCAGATATGCAAGCAGTCAGCAAATAGTGGATCTTCCCATTCTTCATTATGACTTAATCTGTTTAAGAAGCAATTGTGTATTCTAGCCAGTTTCGTTCCTTTACTGGTACTGAAGCCTGATAATGACCTAGAGTTTTGTCTAACATTGAGACTTCAAGTTATAAAGCATTATTTCCTGAATGGTGCCTGGTGTCTCAGGTGATAGTCAGGGAATGGGAAAGCTGTGTTCAGAGCTGTTTGTATATTTAATATGCATGGAAAACCAAACAGCGATGTTGTGATCTTTAATTGTTGTCACCTCTTGGAATTCTTGGGCTGGTTCCTTATGACAACTTTAGGAAGTCTCTGTAAATGTAAAGGCAGGTACCAGCACAGATGCTACCTGCATCAGGGTGCTTCTGCATAACACTGCTGTAGTCTGTGCTTGCAAACATTTACGATCTGGCTTTGAATTAGCTACTAGTGTGAACTTCTAAAGAGTAAATGGAAAGCTAATGTTAAGATCTGGGGGCTTGTGATGGGCATGTGGCTGATCTCTTTAATTGCAGAGGAGCAAACCCACCATCCTGTGATTCAGGGACTGGTCAGAACTCCAGATGGCGGCTGCACTATGATGTCTACCAGTACTTCTTACCAGAGAATGATCTTTCTGAGATGGTACTCATGAGCCACATACGGAAGATGTCTGAGGTGCGAAGTATCAAAGCCAATGGCATTAAAGTGAGTCTGAAGCACCGGTGTTACAGGCTTGTGGCAGTGGCACTGCATGTTTTCTTTTCCCCTGTGCTTCTCTTCCTTGAGTGGTGACATAAGCAAGCTGCTGATGCTTCAGGCTTCTTATATCCGGGACTTCTGGCTGGGAAGTATACAGCGAGTCTTGCATGCAAACTGGCAACCACTCTTTTGACATAGAGGTGGATAGTTAACAGAGTCCCAAGCGTGGCAGATTTGAGACATCTTGCAATGGACTCCATTAGGTAGACATTAATTGATTAGTCTGAGATGTTTCTATGTCTTGCACCCTTTTCTCAATGAAACCAGCTTTTATGGGAGTGTCTTCTTGCTTGCTGTATACTGCTTTAGTCATAGTGCTCTTTCAGTGACGTTAAAAGCCAGCTTGCCTATAGCTATACTGCTACTGAGTGCCTATAAATCCAGGAGTAGAGCCACTTCTGACAAAGATGGGTAATCTCCTGTGGTGCCTGATAGATGCTGGTGTCTGGCATCCTCAGATGTTGAGGGATGAGCAGGCAATGCCACAAAGAGAGCAGGGATAGAGAATAGAGTGAAACTGGAATACAGACGAGTGCCATTTGGAGTGGCATAAAGAGATCTGATACGTGAGAGCAAACACTTAACTACATGTTTACCTGCTCTCCAGCAAAGAGATTGGAAGGGATGGAGCAGGGACTCATTGGTGATGACCTGCCTGGTTTTGCTAATGAGTAGAACGGCACGGCACCCTTGCCAGCTTCTGAGGCCAGACCTGGGTTAGCAGACTGGCAGGGAACCCGAGCTGTGCCCTCAAATAGGGAGGAGCAAAACATATGACTGGGAGAGTCTTCTTCCCCATCAGAAACTATAGTAATGCTGGAAGAAATGCAGTCAGTCCTGTGAGCCTTTAATGCTTCGATTTAATTCTGAGAGGATTCAGAATAGGAGAACTCTTGCCTGGAGTTCTTGCAGATAGTCTTTCTTGAGCTGCTGAGTATTGCCTTAGCTGTATGAACACATCAACATGCCATCAGTAACAGTGACAAGCAGTTCATTGCAATTGAAAATATGCTTTACTGTTCCAGATGCTTACACTGACAACTGATGACAAGACCAATGTCTACTTTTCCTCACTTCCTGGACAAGGTGTGATCTACAACGTCATAGTATGGGATCCTCTTTGGAATACTTCTGCTGCATACATACCTGTGCATACATATGCCTGCAGCTTTGCTGACCTAGTGGATAGCTGCTCTTCTCTTAGTAAGTTGGGATTTGTATATCCTTGCCAACTCATCTCAAGCTTATTGTGCTCCAAAATGCTAAATGGTCCTTTTGAGATTATTTTTTTAAATATGTGAAGAAGCATTTTGTTTTACACTGGATATATTTTGTTACTTTATGACGGAGTTTACTTGGTGATTGAGGAGAAATTCTAGGATGATGAAATAAGAGTAAGAAGAGCATTAGCAATTGAAGTTTTAACTTAATGGAGGTTTAATATTGTGGCTTGACAATAATAACTTTCAGTTCTGTAGCACCAGTCTAGCTTTTTCCATCTGAACTGGATACATAATGTTAAATCATTTGTAGGACTATAGATTCTGCATGTAAAAATAAGCTAATAAAACGTGAACTAGGTCAGGGTCCAGTCTGATATTTATTTTCTGTTTAATTGTGCTAGTGCTATCAGGAATCAGCAATCTACAAATATTTTGAAAGGAGGTGGTCACCTAAAATAAGCATAAAAATACTATTAACAGTAGTGGAATGACCACAAAGTCATGCTACTTTGTACAAGGTTATATAATGATAGAATTTGAGCAGGAAAAGAGTAAAGCTGCTGTTCCCGTTATGACTACAGTAGGGCCAAGTATAGTGGGTAGAATATGGTGCATAAAATAAAATGTGCTTTCATGTTTACTTTCTTATATACTGTAACATGCAACTGTCATGACAACATGAGATTATATAGGTTAGACCTCTCTTCTGTAATTTGGAGAACTAGGAAAATGTGGTTTAATTTTTCAAATAGTTTAAGTAATAGTAAGAATTTTGCCTAGGGGACAGGTGAGTTGTACTTGGATGATGATCCTTTCTGTTGCATGAAAAATATATTAAAGGGAGATCATGTTGAAGGCTGCAGTAATAAGGACTAGAGCTGCTGTCTGGGTCACTACTCCTATGGCACTGATTTTTTTTTTAAGGTGATTGGATGTACCTTTATTTTTATTTTTTTTAAAGCTGAGCAGATAATTTTCAGGTAAAGCTGTATCTGTATCTTAATCAGCAAGTTAGAGCTACTCTAACTCTTGCAGAAATGTCAATCTTCTGAATAAGGGGGAAGGTTGCGACTTAGTCTAGAACTACTTCAATATTCTGTTGGAGATCCAGTCAAGATAACTGGTAGTTCAGCCATTGCAGATCTGCTCACATGGTGTCTGAAGGACTGGCAGATAAAAAACTATCAGTTACAGCAAACTGACCATACCTTTGTTTCACTGTTGGGACTGCCAGGTAGGATGCTCTTGTAACAACAATTTCTTTCTTCTTTTAGGTAAACTCTCTACCAAAGTATTCTTTACTACTTTTGCTGCCCTTGGTCTTTTCACTTGCTTTTTTGGACACAGATTCTGGAAAACAGGTACTGAATACTTTTTTTTTCCTCTTTTCATAAGTCTGATTGGAATTTCATAACTGATTTTGCTTTAACTTAGAATGGTGGTGTTGTTAATAAGATTCCTTTGATAGTTATTACATGTCAATTAGGTCCACTGCTTGGTTTTTACAGGATTTGATCTTTTAAGCACAGATGAGCAAGAAGTTCCTGTTATGCAGGGAAGAGAAATGTGGAACTAAGGTGAATGCTGGACAACATAGCTATAAATATGTAGTTTTTGACTGAAGGGCTTGAGGACACTGCTTTCCAGGTCAAAGTGTAGTCTGGCTGTCAGTGTCTGGGAAGCACAAAAGGAACTGATCTGTTCCTTCCCTGTTGTAACTTCAAGATATTTGAAGATTTACTGAAGTGGGTTTGGTATGAAGTGTTATGACTATCCTAAGTCTTTTTCCTTCTTCTCTAGACTTGTTCTTCATGGGCTTCATATTCACAGCCTTCTTCTTCTTTGTATTCATCACACGAGTAACTGGCCTTGGTTATGATGGTGAGTAGATGTTTTAGGATACCCGATACCCTTCCGAAAGTATTATTATGAATCTCTTAAGTAAAATCTCATCTGTGCTTGTTGTTTGCCAGCCTTAAGAAGGATAGGAGGGTGGTATCTGAGTACTTGAACTGAGCTACGATTACCATAATAGCTGAATATGCAACAGAGTAAGTTTTGCTTCCAGTAGTAGAATTAAACAGCAGAATTAGTTAATGTAGCTTCAACTGTAAAAGACAAATTTCAGTATCTAGCCAAGGAAGATCCAGGTTTTTAGAAATCCTGGAAATTTGCAACATGCTTCCTTTCTACTTTTTTTTTATAATGAGTGGACCTCAGTTTCTGATCAAATACAGATTCCATCTGTAAAACAAGTAGAAGGTCTGTACCCTGCTTGATAGATCAGCAACAATTAGTTCTTTTTGTCTGTGTCCTGCCTCATAGTTACCTTTTTGATACATGTGCATTAGCAGTTGCAACCTTAACTGCCCTGAGAAATGAAGGTACTAATAATGTGCATAGTAGCAAGCCTTTTATTCTAGCTCTTCCAGTAGTCCATTCTCAGTTGCAGACTGGAGTCTAAGTGGAATGTGCATGAAGCAAGTACTGATGCTCTTGGCTATATCCAGAAATTTTTCATTAGGTAACAATCAAAAGTGTAAGTAAAGCTGCTGGATACAGTATTGCAATAACAAGTTTTTAGAGTTTTGGAATTTCCCCTTTTGTTTTTCAGTGCGTCTTATTTTGACAGCAGTAGCTGGAATTATTGGAGGGCTCCTCTTGGTTGTGAGCTGGTGGAGATTTGGCTCGATCATACTCTGCATGTTTATTATTGGACTTGTGCTGGGATTTCTCTTTTCATCAACAGTCTTCTTTACCCCACTAGGTATGCACTGAAATACTCTGCTGCAAAGTACTGGCTATGGGGTGATGTATTTCTGCTGTATTACAGGGACATTGCAAGGCTCTAAAATGAATGCTGCTCTGGTTTACCTTAGTATGATATTTAACTTTCCCTTTCCAGTGTTGGAAGGAATAGTGATATACCTGAAGCCTTTGTTCAGGTGTGCTGTAATTAAAGGTACTTAGGGAATCTGCACTAGTGAGAAAAGGAAACTGCTTATTCTGTGGAGAACTTGCTGAGGCCCTTTCTACATAAGCTGTATGCCATCTCAGCAGTCAGCCACCAGCTCTGCTCCAGGCGTGCACTTGCTGTCTGTCTTTATTTCCTGTCCAGAACAAGTCACATTAGAAAATCTGCAGTCTTAACTTAGAGGCTTCAGATGTAAATGCAATATGGATTGAGGAACTTTGGCTGTTACCTTTCACCATACTACAGTGCAAGGCTCTGGGAGCATTGCACTCTAGGAGTCAAATTTGTATTTGCAGCTGGATTGACATCCTTAAGGTCTTCAGAATGACTTTGAGAGAACCAATAGCCTAATTGTTTAAAAGCAAGTGAGGCTGCTGAGCTGGAATCCCTCAGGGGCATCACAGCATCAGCCACACTTTTATCTGTCGATTTTAAACATCAGTAGTCTTCTACTTAAGATCCCTTGGTGGGACTGTTTTTCTTCAGTCATTTGTGTTTGACTTAAGCCACAATTCTGTGATAATCCATGCAGTCCCTGGTTGGTCTTCATTAAAGCAAAATGGCTGGGGGTCAGCTTAGAAAAGGTTAGGCCTTAGAAAGCAGGGAGAGCAAAGTAGTGTTTGAGTGACTTCATTACTCTTCCTAAATCCAAAAGAATTTGTTGCATTGTGTTGTTGCCATGGCTGCACTTGCACCATACTAGAGTAAAATATACATAGATGCAGGTTTTCATATTCTAAAGCTATATGGCTTTAAGTAACAAAATGGCTTCTTATTGGGCAGAAATACTTTGGTACTTCTTATTCTTACCAGATGAGTAATATACACCTCATAAAAAATAAATCTTTTGTTTCATGGACATGGTCTGCTGTCCAAACTGAGGATACAGGGCCTATACTCACTGTACTCAACTAGGGTAGTCTTTTTCTGTTCTTGAGTAACTGTTACAGTGCACCTTAAACAACTTCTTCACTTGAGCTCAAAAGGTGATCTTTTCAACACTGTACTCTGGATATTTTTGATTGTACAAAATTTGGGGTGTTGGGGGAGGGGAGAGCTCACCCCAACCACTTGCACAAAAGGAAATTTTTTGCTAACTAGTAAATTACATGTGGAATATGATGTCTTTGCAGGAGACTACAGGGTCTTCCGTGACGATGTGGTGTTCTGGGTGACCTTTTCATCTATAGCCTTGCTGATTCCAGTGCTTTTTGTTGGCTGTCCAAGAATTGTAAGTAATCTGCACTGTCACCTTAAAGGGAGGAAGGCTGTCAGACTTCTTAATGCAAAATGTAGTCCTGCAGGATATGTATAGAAAACTTAATACAGCTTCATGAAGTCAGCACAGGACCAGCTCTGGGGAGTTTCTTTTCAGCCCTACTTGAGCTAAGTGGTCTGTAATCAAAGGAATGACTCTCTGCAGTGTTGCACATAACATCTGCTCATGCTTGCATTTAGTTGACTTCTGCTGTCTTAAAACGATGTCTGTAGAACAGGTGTGTGCAGCCAGCTTCCAGTAGAACTGGTACCAATTACTGCCTTAATCAGGTGGGGGACTAAAGAGTGTTTATCAGTCTCCTGAAGCTGTGTTTTTTCTTCCCTGTCTAGCTGAACATACTGGCCTCTGGAATAGTAGGCTCTTATGCAGTGATCCTAGCTATTGCTTGTTACATCTACACAAGCCTTGCTTACATCACCTTAGACCTGCTCAGAAGGGTCCTCAATGATTACTTCAGCAGAGCTTACACCAATGTGCCTTTTCAAACAAATGGTGAGTACAGCTCTGAAGGCTTCTTTTTCTAAAGAAAAAACACTGCCTCTTTGGTTCTATTGTAAACAGTAATTGAGGATAGGAAGGAATAAGAGAAGAACAAAATAAGTACAGTATAAGGTTTAACTCCCTAATGATAAAATCTAGTCCTGCAAAAGAAATACTCAAATACACTCCAAGGCAGCAACCTTTCAGCAGGTGTTATGTGACAGAGGCCCTTGCAAAAGGTGCTTTTTGGGCTTGGACCTTGCTGGTGAGTTTGCGGGGTGAGCAGACAAAAGGCCTAATATGGTGACTGAACAGGCACATCTTGCCCCATGTGCGTTATCCCCTTTGCATGGAGTTACTCTAAGCATGTGAGGCTGCAGAGACTATACTTCATTCTGTCACTAAACTTGTTCAGTGTTTGTGCTTGGGAAAGGAAGGAATTTCCTGCTTTGATACAGGAATCTGCTTGGTTTCTCTTTTTCAGACTTCATTAGCCTCTCAGTGTGGACAATGCTGGCCCTCAGTGGAATAACTGTGCAGCTTCGCCGAGAGAGAAGTGAAGTGCCCTTCCCACCACACCCATATCTTGCCTGGAAGCGGGAAAGGGAGCGCAGAAGCACCAATGTCTTAGACCCTAGCCATCATATCCCTCCCCTGAGAGAGAGGATCCATAACAAGCTGCTGCATATCAAAGAGTTTTTTCAGAAAGAGCAGCCAGCTGGGGAGAGAACTCCTTTGCTTTTGTAACCTGCCAAATAACTAGTGGGAACAGAGGAAGAATCTAGAAATGGCAACATGAGTGATCATCAGCAAACCAGGCAGTGATGCAGGATTACCACTGCCAGTTTGCCCTGCTTAATTTAACAATGATCGTATTTGCCCAACCTGGAAGAAAAGTTATCTGTTGGTACACTACATGCTGTTTTGTGACTCCTTCCTCAATGGCCCACTCAGCCTGCTGTAACGTGTATGTCTAGCTGCAGAATCTTGTACTAATGGTCAAGTACAGGTATTTATCCTGTGGTGATCTAGTTTGATGGTTAGGTATGGGAAATACAAAGCAACTCTTAGAAAGCAACCGGTACAGTTCTGGTTCTTATCTTACAGTGTGGAAAACCACTGCTGAAATACTGCCTGACTGGCTCCTTAAAGTGGACAGTCTCTCAAATTGTGAGGCATGAAAGATGAGGACCGCACACAGAAGTTCTTCTAGCAGGGACTGAAGTATCACCACCTAATATAGGTACAGAATGTGTGGCTGCAGACACAGTTGTTTCCAAGAAGTGTTATTGTACTTTGCAAGCTAAACTGAGTGACTTGAATTTAAACTGCACTGAATTAACTGTTGTAAATGTGCACACTGGGGCTCAGGAAGTGGACCTGATCTGAGATAAGAAGACTTTCTTTCTTTCAGCTGGTTCTGTAGCAAGCTGGTCATCTGTGCAGAGATGACTGTTAAGAGGACACAAGAGGTTTGCCTCCTTGTTTGCTTTCTGAATAGCTTTTGTCTTTTTTCTGCTCTTGTATATTTTCTTTTTCTTTTTTTGGTGGTGCTGTCATAAAAGAAAAAGCTAAATAAGCTCTTCGTAGCCAACAGCAGTTCTGGTTTGGGTTTTTTTTTCCCTGCAATTGACTGAAACACTAGTTTTATTTTTAATCAATTTATCTTTTAATTCTGCCATTAAGGGGTGAAAACCAGCATCCAGCTAGCGAAATCCTGACCAGGATCCATACTGACTATGTTCCTTACCACTTTGGATTGCATCTGTTCAAAATGGAATGTAGTATAAAACTGGATAAGGGTGGATGGTTGTGATATTGTGTGGTGGCTTTATTGACTTCCTTAAAACCAAACCGAACAGCCATATTCAAAATGCAGACCGGAGCATTGTGGTTTTGGCTCACATAAATGCACAAGCAGTCCTGAGGCTGTCCTTGGTTTTACCTGCCTTTGCCCACCATACCAAATCCTGGTCTTCATGGTCAGTGTTTACATGGTGATCTGTCATGCATTAAATGATGGTTGGTTGAAGTTTTGTGTCCTGTACTTGGTAGTGTGGGCAGCAAAGTGCATGGTCCTTTCTGTCTGAAGGTGGATGGCTCTTCTGCTACCTGAATGAATATCCTCATGAATGTATACCCTCATGGTGGCAACTCAGGTTCTTGGCCATCACTTTAAATTCTTGGTATAAGTATGTAAGGAAACTGGAAAAAGAGCTTTATTTGGGAACTTAAGTGAAAGTTAAGACACCCTGGCAATAGGAAGGAATTAATGGCTTTAAAATGACTCTTACTTACCTGCCCTTTCCTTTAAGGAGTGAAAGCTTAATGGCATAGTGAGAGGTGACTGAGCTCATCTGATGTGTAGAGCGAGACAAATCCCATGATTGCTTGGAGCTGAAACATCTGCCTCAAACAGTAGAGCAAGGCTGAGATCCTGCAGTTTGTGTCTTGCTTTGCTGTGCTGTTGTGGCCCATGAAGGCTCTTTCCCTAGCCTGTGGCAGACTGATGCTTGCTGACTGCCCTTGCTGCTCTGACACCAAGCATGTCTTTGCTGTATTTGATGGCAAGTAGCAAACACTTATTTGGTATACAAATGCTCTTAAACATGTTTACCTTGGTCTTTTTATAACTGCTGTGATTAATATTGTGCAAGAAACAAGTTTAACTCTAATTTTCTATATCTTTTATAATAAAGATGCCTTTTGAAAGAATATTGGAACTAATGGGGCCTCTTTGAATTTAAAGATGCTTTTACACCTTAGGTTCTGTCTTCGGTATTGTAGGGATAGTTTGTTTTGGAAAAACTTCTTAGCCTCAAGGGATGGGGGGGTAGAGGAGGGAGGAACTTAGCTGACCTGTTGTGAGGACTTACTGTAGTTGCAGTGACACCCAGAGGCTGGAGAGGGCTTGTGTTCTGTCTGAAGCTGGTTGAGTAAGTGCATGGTCCAAAGAGGCTTTTTCTTACAGCTTTGTCAGGGGAGGTTCTAGGGAGCAAAGGAATGGTGGTCGTCATCCACTTCTTGACTGGAAACTAGTCTGCAAGATCATGCAGGAAGTCTACGGCAGAAGGGGGCTTTGAACTCTAAATCCTGACTCAGAGATTTACTTCTCTTAGGCTGCTCAGAGACAGTATGGAAATTTTCTTCCATATTCTGTAAGCCACAGTAGGTAACAGTGGTAATAATCAAAATACACAAACCGATCCACTGGGGTTTTGAAGGGATAATTTTCAGGTTGCTTTTTGTGTACCTTCTGAGGCAGTTGCAAAATAAAAACTGGATCCTACCCTGCTATGCCTCTCTTTGGAGTGCCAGGTCTCTCATGGGAAGCATTTACTGCCTTGCTGTGTTAGCTGTGCTAAATTTTGCACAGCTACCTTGCAATTTTGCTAGCTTAAAATAATACTATCTACTGCTCCTGGGGACTTTATGTCCTTCTAGGCAGTGGTTTGAAGCTTCCTGTAAACTGAAGCTTTCTGGACTATGCTGTGAGCTATTTTCTTCTGCTGTAGAGAATTCTTCTGCCAAGATGATTTCGGCACACTCACTGAGTCTTCTGCAGTCTTTGGTGCATTGTAGTAATGTGCAATGATCACATTGTGTTATTTGACTTAGCTAATTGTTGAGCTTTACTAGATCCAAATCTTGCAGAAGAAGCCCTTTTCCTTCTCCCCTTGCTTTCACACCCGTGTTGGTTTCTCCTAGCAGTTAAACAAGCTATGGCACAAGTGAACTCTAGGACACTGATCTTCTCAAGCAAGCAGATCTTCTTTTGTTCTTGTCTCTACTTCCTCACTTTAAAAACACAAACCTAACCTGACTACTGCTTCATGGAGTGCTACAAATGTCAGGCAGCTTGCCTGCCTCCTTCTCCAAATGGTCAGAAAGTATGACTGAAAGTAGAAACAGCTCAGGCTTTCCATGGATATACGTCAGTGAAGAGGAAGACAAACTGATTTGGGAGCAGGTTATGGGAAATTATAGAAGGGGACCCACAAAATAAATGTCCCTTTGTCATCTCGGCAGTTGTGTCCTATGCAAGTGGCTTTCCTTATGGGAAGGAACGGCGTGATGTAGAGCTCCCAGTCCAGCAGTCTCCTCTGCTAATGCTTGGTAAGAAGAAAAGGTATTAGTAGTTGTCATTAGATCTTCCTAACTGTTTGGTAGAAATGTTGCATGTGTCAGGTTATAAAGCATTCAAACCGTTTTGGGGGCCCAAGTGCTGGGTGTTATAAAACTCTGTGACAGAGGCTTCTGAGGAAAATGTTGTGTTGGCTTAACACCATTGCCACTTTGGGCTGCAAGCCTTGCTTGCGGAAATCTGAGCAGAATGCAAACTTTGTGGGGTGCCAGTCTGAAACCCAAACTCAGTCCTGTCAAGTACAGTAACTGTCTGACATACTTTTGGTATTGCTACCAGAGAGACAGCAGCATGGCCTAGTTTGCCTGGTTCCTTGATTTCAAGCTGGTCTTGTTTTCCTGTGTCTGAGGCATTTGGCCATTGCCAAAACTGTGTGAAACTGTCCCAAGCAACTGGAAAACTAAAAGGAAGATAAAGCAAGGTTCAGTTTAGAACTGCTTGAGGACCAAAATCCTGTTACTAAATGGCACAAACATCAGTAACTCTTCAGGAGGGTGTATTTATTTCTTTAATTTCTAGAGGACTGTCTCAGCACACTTCTGCTCCTAACCCTGAAGTGTAAGGTGTATGTTTTGGCTTGTAGTGTCAAGGCAACAGGCTGGGTTAAGGCCACCAAAATCATCCGTCAGCACTGCAGATCTTGTAGCTATTGCTCACCTATGAGATCTTCCTGTTTCCCTGAACTAGTGCCAGGTTACTCCTTCCCAGCCTTTGCTTTTCTTTGCAATAGCAAATGAGATAAATGAAGCTTCAAGGATTTCTTTGTTCCCCTCTGTATCTGTCCACTGCTCCAACCTGGAACATGTGCGAAAACAGCCTTCCCAGCACCCACATTCTGTGTGTTTTCACTCGCGCTTCTCACCCCTGCAAGGCTCTTCAGCTTTCATGCTGGTGTTGTCCTTGCCTCCTCCTTGTCCTCATCCTCCTTTATTTGAAAACTTCTGAAAAATCAGTCTGTGCCTTTAATCTCTCTTCCTTAAGGGCTGGCAGCAGTGTGATGTAGGTTGACATGTGATCTTTGTGGTGGTACTTGTGGGGGGCTTTATTACAACCTTGATTTCTGGTTGGTTTAGCCAGTGAATAGTCAGAATGGGAAGCATTGAGCTTCCAGTATGTAAATACTCTATGGAAGACAAGCATTGTAAGCATCAGGTCTGTGTTCTGACTCAGTGGCTGAGGTGCATGGATATATCCCTGCCTATTAATTTGAATTGTAGTTGATATTCACCTGATTTGGTTGTCCCATCCCTTGTCTTTGGTGCTTTAGTTTTCTCTAGAAATGAGAGCTCTAATAACTTTTCTGCTTGTTCAACCAGAAGCTTGTTTATACCAGACCTTGTCTGTAGGCAGACAGCTGTCTCCAGCAGTATGCAAGGCTTTAGCCTTCTATGCATGCTGGGGGAGGACAACTTCACAACAGAGCAATAAATCAGCTCATTCTGGGGGTGAGAGGGAGCGGCTGTGTACAACTTGCCTGCCTGCTTCAGAACTGACTTCTCACAAGCCTGCCTTGTCAGGAAAAGCACTCCTTGCATTTTTCTGCATTTCTTTAGAGCCTTCTGGTGTAACAATAGATTGTTACCTGATGAGCTCTAAACAAGCTGGATTAACCTCTCTTGATACTGAATGCTTTGGGGGGAAAGCCATATGCAGGAAGCAGAAAGAACCACGGATGGAGTATACCATAGGAGGCAGGTGCTGTTTGCCCAGCCAGTAATTTAATGAGCTGCAGATGGTGATTCATTGAAGTTGTTTACTATGTTCCTGAATGTAATATTGGAAGAATGAAGACTTGGTCACCCTGCACCAATTCGTGTGCTGTGTTGTTCAGGCTTCCAGCAACTCAACTGCTGAAAATCTATGTAATGCTTTTCACTGCTGAAATAGCTGTCCTCAAATGTGTTTTTTAAGGTTTATAATGCCGTATGGAAACAATTTATTCTGCTGTTCTTTAGAAAAAGGTAAAACTTCACCTTTGGGCAACAGAAAGGAACTGCAGCTGGAGTGCTGCTTGTCTCCCTTGTGCCACTGTTCTCTAGCTTGTGTCCAAGGAGTGCTGCCAGCACGTACTTTTTCCAAGACTGGAACTGGCAAATGTTTCCTTCCACATTGAGCAGCTGTTTAAGGTTTTCTCCTTCTAAATGTCAGATGAAGTCTTTTCCTAAACTTGGGAAATAATTATGTTATTAGTCTAGTGGAAGGCGTCCCTGCCCATGGCAGGGAGGTTGGAACCAGATGGTCTTTAAGGTCCCTTCTGACCTGAACCAGCCTGTGATTCCATGATGTCCTCTAACACAAAGCTGCGACCACACTGGCTCCAACAGGCACGCTGCTGCATCAGAACAAGCCTAGGGAAGGAAGGTGCTTGCGGCAGCAGGAACGTCAGTATCTTTTCACTGAAAGAGAGCATGTTTTATTTTGCAGCGCACTTCAGCATGTGGAAGCTGAGCAGTTTGGCTTAGTCTGTTCTACTGTCATCAGCATGAAAATCAACTGCATCACAGAAGTGGGAGGTGGAAAAGGTGAGGCTGAGTCACCTACACCTTTAGCAGGTACGTGCACATGGTGTCAAACAGCAGTGTGCCACGTGTGGTTCTCCCTGCACACCATGGGGTTCTGGAAAGGTAAGTTTAGCAAGAGATCTTCTGTTGACATCCTACAGAACCTACCTGACCCCTTTAAACAGTCACAACAGGCACTGGTTCCTTGGTGCTGGTTCAGGGATCCATATGTGTGGGAGAGCATATGGATCTTTCTAGGACAGCAAGGAGATGGGTTTGTTTGCACACTGTGTTAAATGGCTTCCTTCTGAGCCACTGCTCCTGTGACAGCTGTGCAGAGGGCTGGCAGCTTCCTGGCACCTACAGCTGAGCTCCTGCTTTTTCTTTTTGTGGATTTTGTCTCTTGTGGCAGATGCTGCTTCCAGAACTTAAGTGCTGCCGACAGCATGGTGTCAAATAGGTTGGTAAAGGTGTCATGTTAATATTGACTCCTCCACCACATAACTTCACTTCTGACTTAACTACTTCCATAGTTCTCCTGTCTCATTCTTCCACTGCCATTGCATATAACCTGTCATACTGTAACCAACACAGTTGTTCTGTCAGCCAATTTAACTGCCTATCATCGTGAGACACTTGGCCATCAGTGTCCCCAGAGAGAAAAAGTCTGTTTTACACTCAAACAGGAGATTTAGAAAGTCTCAATCAAAAAAGTGCTTTTAAAGCTTAATGTATGCAAAATAACATGAAAACTTCTGAAGCCAATGTAACTCGTACCTTGGGTATCCAAAGGGATCCTAGTAAACACAATTCTGTATGAAAGCAGGGCCATCAGTTATGTATTTGAACATAATCTTCTACTCCAATGCCCTTGTTTGAAATAGCTTTAGCTTTTAAAGTTTTTTACTTGTAAGAAGCAGCCCAGTTTAGTTTCAAGCTGCCCTTTGGTTTTAGCTCAGCAGAATAGCTACTAACTTGTATTTATGACTTAGCATGACATTTATTAGCTTTTTTTAAACACCAAATCTGTGATACTGAAAACAAGATTCTCTTCAGAGAAATCATGGGGAAGTGGAGAAAACATGACGTTGTCAGCTTATGAATGTAATCCACTCATGTTCTCATTTATGTGACAGAGAGCCTGGAGTCTGAACTGTGCCAAAGTGGGGTTTTTTTAATCTTCAAGAAAAACCCTCAGCTGTTACATCCTATCTGCACCAAAGTAGGTTTTGATCCAAAAATCAAAGCCTGTGGACTGCTTAGTAAACACTTCCAGTGATTCATTTGAAAGGTGGACAACTGCTTGTGTAGAAGAGACTGCTGCTTTTCAAGAGAAAGTTAAGACTATACAGAGGATTTTTCTCTTACTATATAGCCACATGAATAAAAGCACAACACTTGGCCTGCCTGCCTGGAAGTATAAGGATCAGCTGAGTCAATGGCAAAAAGATGTATTCTTTTTGTTGCATGTTACCGGCTAAGGCTCACTGTGGATTCAGTACCCTGTTTTAAGCATGAAGCCATACATGTTTTCAGTTAACTTTATTCATAAAATAAGTTTACTGTACAGTACACAATTCTAGCAATAAATTCTTTTCAAGCCATCTGCATTACAAAAATAACAGGTATGCAATGAAAAATAGTCACTCCACACACCGTGAAGGTTCTGTAAAATCCTAAAGTGATCAGGTCAGGGGGATGAAAGGGGAGAAGTATCAAATATGAAGACTAGGAGTAGATAAATTAAGTCACATTTTTCTTTACAAAAATAAACACTAATCAAGCATTATTTCATAATAGAGCAACCTTAGAATGCCACAGACTAACACTCCCTCTCTGCTATACAGTGCTGGAGACTGTTCTTGAAAGGCAAACCAGAATGTCAGCCAGGAAACAGCATTCAGCATTACATGGATATAAACATCTGAGACCAGTCAATGGCTGAAAAGACACTTAGAAAAGGAATCACTTAATCAAATGAAGCCCAAACTTCTTGTGAGTTAGGAACAACAAAATACTCCATTGAAAAAAGGGTAAGTCACCAGCTCGCAAGCTACAGCAGGAATGCGAAATCTAAATGAGAGCAGCATTGGCAAGGTTTTATAGACGCTAATAGCAGACAAGGCTGTTCTGTGCTTGAGCTCAAATGCTCCCCAAACAACTCCCACCAGGTGTTAAGTTTGGAAAAGGTTAAAACTTTTTGTTCTCTCACATACATGAAAGACCTCACTATATTCTTAAGCCTGGAAACAAGCTGAGGTGCTCTGGAAAGAGAAATAGCAATTATCCAACTTATTTAAAAAATGCTGTGAAAATTGGGATAGCATGAATTTATCTGTTCTTTTAACTGCATTTTTTCCCATGTGGATTGGCTCATTGAAAACCAGCATTTATTCTCTCTGCTAAAAACTCCTTTGCCACCGCTTCACTTTTTCCTCTTAAAAGTACTATGGGAAGTGGGGCAGCAACAGAACAAAAATATTAAGTTCCCTATAAATGACTTTATTGGGCCCTGGAAGTTCACCCTTAGAGCTGGGTGAGTTTACCTTGAACCCAGGGAAGCTGTACTGAGTCAAAGGGAAGTTACATTTGAAAGTGACACACTTCAAAGTGTTTGGTGCTTAATTCTTTCTGCATTGTTGCAAATGAAAATCAAATCTGATTAACAGTTGATTTCAGAATAGGGGTTCAACTTGCTTTGCTGTGTGAGGTATTAAATAGCCAAAATACTCAACTGCAGGTGGCATTTATAGATCAACAGTTGTCTGTGGTTGAAAGCTTTCACTCTGCTGCTGTTGAGTATGCTTTCCAAGGAAAGAATACATTAATGTGCTGGATAAAAAGTGATGATATCCATCAAGAGCAGAGGTGTTCTCTCTGCCTAGACCAAGAAGGGATAGTCAGACAAACAAAAGCCAAATATAATTATTTTGGCATCTCTTTACTACAAGCCTGTCTTGAGTAGCACATCTATCAGATCTGCATACAACATCAGCTGCACTTTGATCTAGAAAACCTAATTCCTTTTCATTTCTTGTAAGTATTGCAGGATTGCAAGCGAGCAGTCTATTCATCAGTATAGCATAGCGAAACTTTCCCTAGTGCAAACATAACACGTACCTTGAACTTACTTAAAAACCTTCCTGATGACTACTTAGTACTTAAAAATGAAGAGTACTAACTGCAGGCTGCCAACTAATTGCAGAAATGCTGCTGCTGCTGCGCAGGTGCTTTCAAATTGCCATTTCCCAATCCAAGAAGAAATAGGTGGAACTACTGTGGCTTCTTGCTTCTAAAGAACTGAGCCTGCTTTTCTCTCTTAGAAGTAAAAACTAAGGAAGAATTATAGTGTGCTACCTGTGTTCCAGAAGCCAACAAAGCAGGAGCAGCTCTTTTAATTGTTTTGAAAATACAGTCAAGTAGACATGTTTTAAAGAACTGTGTTCAATTTAAACAAAGAAATATTGAATAGCAAAACCATGGCTTCTGTTTGGACAATCAACCTTATATTTGAACAGGCCAAATCACAGACATCCTTATGTTTTAGGCTGCCTGTGCACCCTTTCCATTAACCAGGTTTGTTGCAACATGAGAATCTATTAAAAACATACTAAAAGGAAAAAAAACATGACGTGGGCCATGCACAAAGCATACTCAGAAGTTACTACTTTTTAGCCAGAGATGAGACTTTAAAGCTTACCTTCATTACATAACAGGCACACTGAAACTTTTTATGAACACGAATTTAGCTAGATTCTGTGAAATCTTGTCTTTTATCTGTAAAATGGTGTCATATAAAAAGAATTTCCAATGGGATAAGTCCATGAATCCATTTCCTATGAAAGTTAGATCTATGGCAATTAAGTCTGTCCCTAAGGCTTTTGTAGACTACCAATTGTAATTTATCTTACTCGGTATAAAAGCCACTAAACTGGAGTTTAAGATGCATTAGCTTGCTGGTGCCCTATTCTGTAACAAGTGCTTGACAAGTGACCCCTGATACTCAGTTTGTAAAGTGTGCAATTGAAGCTTGTGGGCTTCCAGAGTCTTCAGCTTTTCCTCAGGCTCAAATCACTGCTTGTTACTAATCCTGACAGAGATGTGCTCTCTGAGGCATCTTCTTTCTTGAGGTTCAGAAATGATTCTCTGGTTATTTGAAGAATTTCTCTCAGGCCTTTGTTTTCCTGCTGTAACCAGAGAAAGAAAAAGGTAATTGAGAGAACTCCAGAAAGAAGTCAAGATAACTCCATTAACAATCTCCCCTCTACTCCAAACACATGTAAAAGGATTAAAATACTGATATGCAGTCAGGTGGTGCTATGTTACTTTTTAAAACTGAGAACTTTAAGTTTCTGACTCTCTTGCTCTCCTGAATGGTCATTAAGCACTAAAAAAACCCCTCAAAACACAAAGATGGGTAAGAAAAGAGTAACAGAGTTGCATTTAAAAGTAACATCTGTTCTTTCCACATACACTGTCCCATAATTAACTGCTTTGCTAGTACTTAATCAAAGAGCAAAGCTGTGGCTCCTCCAATGCTAAGCAACTGAGAATCTCCCAAAGGCACAAAATTATTGCTAAAAAAAAAATCATATTTAAAAGCCAAAGGTGTGGGTATTATTATTTGCACCCTAGTGTCTCATTAGGATGAATCAGTATTATTTCCTAGCTTTTGGTTACACTCCTAGGGACTTCAAAAAAAGAGAAAGCTTAAGGCAATACGTATATTCTTCATCACCAGACATCAGTGACTGGTATCACTATGCAAGACTTGAGGAGAGGACGGAGGGGGAAAATAGTACCTCCAGTCCTCCAACAAGGAAAGTGCAACAAAATAGCAGTGTGAGTGACTGATAGAGTAACTCATATGAGATAGAGTAACTGAACAGAAATAACTGTGTTAATATTTACTGCCTTGCTCTTGGCACCATAGCTGTTCTGATTTTTTACTTGCCTCCAGCTGAAGGATTCGTTCCTGCTCTTTACAACCCTGCTTTTCATCAATTTCAATGGCTTTCCTCATTACTGCTGCCATTTCTGTAATTTGGTCCACATGTACTTGCAGCTCCTACAACATAAAAAGTAAACAATGACAGTGGGTGTTGGTTGATAAAGCTCAACATGATCCAGCAATGTGTATTTGCAGCCCTGAAAACAGCCATGTGCTGGGCTGCATCAAAAGGAGCGTAACCAGCAGGTCAAGGGAGGTGATTCTACCCATCTGCTCTGTTGTTGTGAGATGCCACCTGAAGTACTGCATTCAGCTCTGAGGTCCCAAACATTAAAAGGACATGGAACTTCTGGGAGCAAATCCAGAGGAGGTGACAAAGATGCTCAGAGGGCTGGAGCACCTCTGCTATGAAGACAGGCTTGAGAGAGCTGGGTTTGTTCAGCCTGGAGAAGAGAAGGCTCAGGGGAGACCTTATATAATGGTCTTCCAGTACCCAAAGGGGGAACTACAAGAAAACTGGAGAGGGGCTTTTTACAAGTGCATGTAGGGACAGGACAAGGGAGAATGGCTTTAAACTGACAGAGGGGAGATTTAGATTAGCCATTAGGGAGTTCTGTGAAGGTGGTGAGGCACTGGCACAGGCTGCCCAGAGAACCTGTGGCTGCCCCATCGCTGACAGTGTTCAAGGCCAGGTTGGATGGGGCTTGGAGCAACCTGGTCTAGTGGAAGGTGTCCCTGCCCACAGCAGGAGGGCTGGAACTAGATGGTCTTTAAGGTCACTTCGAACCCAAACCATTCTGTGGTTCTATGATAGTAGAGTTTGAATAAAGGACAAGTTGAGAAAAAGGCAATGAAAAATAAAAGCTTTTGGAAACACCATTAAAATATTTGTTTTCACTGACCACCTGTCATGCCAGTCTTTTTGTGTCTGACCTGACCTTTGGACAGCTACTAAGTAATATTGGGAAAAGCAGAACAGTAAACTGAAATAAAGAACACTATAGACTAAAGTTAAATCCCACCTTTAAATTACAAATTTGAATGGAGGTCCACACATCTAGCAGATGATCAGCTTGCCTTTAAACTATCAGAAATGATTAAGCTACCGTAAAGAACTGCCTCACTTGGAATCATAAACTTGATGTGAGCCAAATATACTTTACTAAAAGAAACATCAGCCCTTTCCATTCTTTCCTCTCTGGCACCTCAATTGCTAATGCTGTTGTTCAGCTGTTTACTTATTAAACACCCACACAGACCAGGGGAGAGGAAGGGGGAGGGATGGGGGTAGAACTTGCTGTAAATCTTTATTTTCTTCTCAGTTTCCACTGAAGGTGATGATAGGAGACTTTTTTTTTTCCATCAAAAACTAAATTTACCTTGAAGCTGTGATCAGTGGTAGAGAATGAGTTAGTGAGGATATACCCTTGAGAAGGGCTGGGAAGGAGGTAGTGGGTTTTAGATATACTGACTGCTGTCATCCCTGCTTCCTACTTTGCCAGCTTACATGGTCTATTGCTCAATATGATTCAGGACCTATTCCGAGGTCACTAGTGTTAGACCAGATGCTAAAACAAATGTGTAGAGTTCTACTCTGGAAAGCACACATGCAAAACTTAAATGCTGTAATACCAAAGAATGCAATGAAAGTGTTTCTTTACAAAGATAGCCTCAAACATCTATGAACACTTTTTGCATTTCTCTCCTTTGTGTTTGCCATATGCCTCATTCACAATAGTTTACAAAAACATTGCTTAACAACACTTTGCTTTTCTAGTTTTCAAAAACCATAAAATGCAGCAACCTTTCACCAGCAACTTTCACCACCCTTTATGCCCCTCAAGCTGCCCTAGATTCTACTCAGCAATCCTGATCAATACTGAAACAACAACCAAGGGCTGAAGCAGGAAAGAAGTGTATGTTCAGTTACTCATCATTCAAAAGGGCCTTTAAATATTTCAGGTTTACTAATTATTTGTTGGAGTCACAAGCGTAAGTTAAAGCCAGTCTAAATGTCTGAATTACTAAGTCTGTAGCCTGTGGAAGTATAAGAAGGTGGTTGCCCTGAAGACTGAAGCAAAACAAAAGAAGTAGATACAGTAATGAAATGCTACTTTTTAAAAGCTTAAATAAATGAGAAGCCAATAAGGTTGACTTGACTGATCAAGTTCCTGATCATGTTTCATGGTCTGGATTAGAAAAATTAGGACTTGGCAGTACAGTGATACAAAACCTGAGACAAATTAACTGATCCACTACAAACTAACTGAAGTATTACCCAAGAAAAACAAAGGAAAAAACCCCTCAAACCCAACCAAACAATTAAGTTGTTACCTTGGAATGTTGCTCTTTCAACTTCATTATTATACTTGGATCATCCTTTTTGCTCGCCATTAGCAACCTAAACATCTGTTCTCTGTACTTGCTCATTATGAGTTCCAGAGCAGATTGGTGTTCTTCAAGAGATGTGCGTAGTTCTACCAAAATAATTTTCATTTCAGTTAGAGCTTAACAGAGAAGAACTAAAACAAAATACAAGAGCACTTCAGCTTGAGAAAACTGAAATAAGCCCTTAATGAAGTGTTCCCTCTCCTTGCACCATAAAATCTGTGTAGGCTCTGCAGATGTCTTCAGTGGTGAGTGCCATGGGAAAATTCTTGTCAGAAACAGAGGTCTTTTGTTAATACAACTTCATATACAGTCCCCATAAGCCATGTTGAGTGTAGCTGAGCAGCTTTACTCTAGCCATTATAAGCAACACTGTACAGAAGCTAGAAGTTTACAGATCTGTTTTAACGTGGTAAATAAGAGTTAAAAAATGCTCGTGTTCAAAATATACTAATCAAAGGACGAATAACTGCCGAGATAAGACGAGATTCATACAAATCAAGATCATTGAAACCTTTGCTGAATATAACTGTTAGAATAAGTAAGGTATTCCAGGAAGAACAGTTAATTCCTAGTATACAGAATTCCAGAAGGAATTATGCTATTGTGCTTACCCTACAACTTCTCCCGACTGTTCCTAAATTGGTTATTTTTAGCAGTGGGAAACACATTTCCAAACAGATACCTATACTGCAGAATTAAGTTCTATTTATCTCACGTGTGCTAAACATTAGATAAGGACTGAAAAAGTAATTTTCCACAATTCTCACTTTTTGTCAATCATAGTTCCAATGGTTGGACATTAGGACTCTATTAGATTTTGTTATAATCAGTTAAACTGACAAATTAAGATTAGAAGAAAAACTTCAACATCAGTTTTTTTGAGAACAGATCAATGGTGAAAGTGTCACTGATTCCAGTGGTGCAGGTTGGAACTTGAAAACGATAGAGTATCGTTTTACCTTTATTTTCCTGTTGCAGTTCCCTAATCTGTCTGTTTTCTTGTTGGATACCCATCACTAACGTAGACCGAGGACGATGTCTTGCTACTTCATTAAGCTCTTGAATTTCTTCTTGGTACTGGTTATTGGAAAAACAAAACCAAAACAAACCAACCACAACGTACTTGAGTAACCAAAGGCAAGCATTAATCAGCAAGTCACAGAGGAGCAGTTCTACTGTCAAAGTCTGTAACTAGTAAGATAATGCTTGGTTCTAAATAATAGTGTTAAACAAACAAATAGAAACCCTTCTGGAGGTGTTGCTAACATACTGGCCTTTAGAGACACAAAAGTATCGCCTTTGTTTGATACAAGTTTCATAACTTAGATGTGTGCAGTGGGCATTGGTTAACCTTCAATTAATGCAGGTCAACTTCACCATCAAGTAATTTAAAACTGATATACATATGGTAAAGAAATCCACGAGGTATTAACCTCTAGATATTTACTGTGGCTTCCCAATACCTTAAACCACAAGGCTGTACATGTACAAGTCCTGTGGGCCTGAACTCTCAGGTCTGTGGATCCTGGATCTCAACAAATGGGTAAGTTTAATGCTCTCAGTTTGAAATCATGAAGCCTCTGCATGACTGGTTTTACAGGGATGAAGCACATACAGGATTTTATTACTTTATAGACCAATTAACACATCCTGAGGTCTATTAAAATGACAGGATGAACTCTCATATGGAAAGTCATTAGACCCCTTGATGTTTTTCCAGGAGTTTTCTAGTGAAAAATCTAATGACCCGCCTTGAATATCTTAACATCAGAATGGAACTGATCATACACACAAAAAAAAAAAAGGCTAAGAAGCTAATTCGAAACAAAAGGAAGCAGCGATAGGTTAAAAGCATTCTGAACAGAAGAAAGCACGACTGAGCCTCTGTACTATTACATGTGCATGTTAAAATTAATAAAACAAGTAGTTTCACAGCAGAGCAAAACACAAGCCACCACACAATGGGTTTGTAAGATACCAACCAAATTTCTACCAGTGTTCTTGAAATAAATGCCAGTTTCAATATTTAATGTAGAGTTACAGAGAACTTCTTCACAGGATCAAACTAAATACATAAACAACCTATTTTTAGATTATAGTCACACCTCTAATGAAAATATGATGGTATTAAAGGATTAATCAAATAACACAATAGTTTTACACTGTACAGTAGCACATAAAAATGATCTTAAACTATGTGTTTCCATGTCGTTCTCTTAAGGGAGGAAACAAAGTTGGAAAACAAACCTGTTTCATTGCTTCAACCCGTTTGTTAAGAGCTGTAGTCTGTTCAATCAGAGCTTCTGCTGCATTGTCATGCTCCCTCAGCCGTTCCACCAGTGCTTTCGCATCTGCTAAGGCTTTTTCGATTGTGCAACTCATTTCTAAAGATTAGAAACGTGTTATTTTCATACCACCACCTGTTTGCTAAACAGAGAACAGCTATCTATGTGAAATATAGACATATATTTCTAGACTAAAGCAGCTGAATAAACCTTTGCCTCAGAAACATCCATTCTGTAGTATTTTATGAATAGGAAGAAATTATGCCTCAAGTACACACTAAAGTCTTCCTTTCCTTTTCCTCCTTTTTAATTGCTGTTGAGACCACATATCAGAGCAAGGAAATGAAAGTAAATTTTATGTTTTGAGGAGAGTATTAACACACCAAATGCCAAAGTAAAACTATTGAACATATGGAAGAGCATATATGCATGTTCTTCTGTAAGCAGAGAAAAAAGATGATTACATAACTAATTCATTTTTCAGTACTACCTATTTTTTTTTGTGTGACCTCCTACTGTCAGATATACTTCAAGATATTTGAGAAGCAGAACTCCTGCACAAAAGGCACTGCTAAAGGTCTAAAGTGGACTGGAAGATTTTGATGCATTAAATCAGCAAAGAAGAACTCAAACTGACAGAATAGATACTTTGGTAATAAACAGAAAACTAAAGGTTCGTGTTTTCTTCATATCTGTAAAAAGAACACAAACATATGTTTCACTGCATGGAATGGAACCATAAAGTTTTCAGCAGGATAAAGACAGCAGCTCAGCTAAGAAAAAGAGCTGACTGCACAGCTAAAATACCAGCCTTCTAATTGCAGTAGCTAGCAGAAATTACTTATAGCTAGAATTGCTAAACTTGCAAAACACTTGTGCATACCAGCATTTCCAAACTACTGGCCTTTAGCCTGAATTTTGTCGTGCTCATGCTTGACAGACCAAGTTTCAAGACTGAGATTTTCAGACTAAGTTTTTGTTTTCTTTCAAGAAACCTGGTCCTTTTTCTACTAACAAGGAAATCTGCTTAAACTTCTTGAACTGCTCTTGAGCAGTCAGACAGCAATGATAGAGGTTTATTAGTTATGGGCCTTACTGATACAAGACTTAAGATCTTTTTTAGGAAACTTCCTAAGGTACTGAAAGAATCAACTAAATCCATTCCTTAACCAGGCCACTTGGTAAAGGAGAGATTTTTTTAAGCATAAAAGGTTAATGAGCCTTTCCTTAGCTACAGGGGAAAAAAATTGCCCCATATTAATTTTCTAACTCTCTTAGGCACCTTTGCAAATAATTTTACACAAGCCTAAGAAAACCCTCCCCTTTTCCTCACCGGACCTTTTCCCACTGTCCTGAGTAGGTAGTACAAGTAAGAGTATTTCAAACACCAGAAATTCCACCATTCCCCTCAAAAGATTTACAAACAGTAGGAATAACCAGTCCTTATGCACTAAGGTGGGGGAAAACTGAGCAAGACAGGAGCAGGGTATGGAATGTTCTCTCTGAAGAGCTCTCAGGCACCCAGAATATCCTGCAAGATCTAACCTTTCAACATTTTAATTGGGTAATTTCATTAGCTCTGAGGAGCACATGTAATACAAAAGCATTTACTTTACTTTTTCTGTGAACTAGAGAAGGGTCTTTCAGGGACTATGCCATCACAGAACAGCTGAGACTTGTTTGCTGATAAAGGAGCTTCAGAAAATGAGCTTCCTGTATGCACAGAGCACAACGGTTTCAACCTGTGTTTCCTGTGATCCATGTGTTATCAAAACCATCAGTATTTTGGCATGTACAAATTTCCTATTAGACACTCATAATGTTAAATCCTTCCTGTTTACAAACCAGAGTTTTCATTTTAATTTCTGTATGATGTATGTACGTATTTGAGGTATCAAGCTCTTCAGCAGACTGATGTGTTATCACATTTATTCTATCTGGTTTAGCTGTTTTAAATATTATGTGGAAAGGAATCATACTACATTGTTTTCAAGGATGTGCTTTTCTTGCTCCTCATTTTTCCTTCCAGTTCTGGTCTCAGATTCTCACTGGACTATAAAAACATCACAGGCAACAGATGACCTTCCACACTAGCTGGCTAAGCTGTTACAGAAGTTGATTTAATCAGATCCATATTTAAGAATTTGAAGAGCAGTCTTTAACTCAATTCACGGGTCATGAATTCTCTAGCTAGTATAAAACAAAGCCTCTCAGGCCTCTCTATGAGCTTGGAATCTATCTGGCACTCAGACTACAATGCAGTTAACATCTCTGATAATTTGTATGCATCAACGTGAATTTTTAAACACAGGGAACACTCACTCGCCTGTGCACTTTCTCATTTTGACCCAACCCAGCCACACGAGATGAAAAGAAACCCGTCTGTAGCAAAGCCGCTGGCATTCTTTTCCACAGCGAGTGACTTGGGGAAGACATGTGTGCCCTGTGCAGAACCCAGTGATAATCCACTGTAACCATGCAGCAGCTTCAGCAGGCCCACCTCCTGTTTTCAGGCAGGATTTTTACTTCAGAAAGGAGAATCGTTATTTGTATCATAGTAATTCATAGTGGCTCCAAATCTTGATCATCATTCCTGTGCACAAGAGACTGGCCCTAATTCTTGGAATTCACTCTAGTTGCCCATCTGGCTGCCTGTGGAAAACAAATATTTTGTCTTATCCTAAAATAGATGCAAATCCGTGAGCTAACCTGGACATTTGGGGAAAACCCCAATTAATCAAATATAATTGACTGATATTAATTCTTATTGCATATTATTCTTTTAATGAGCATGAGGTCTATAGCTGCTAAACTTGGTGGTTCCTGACCTCTACCCTACAAGACATGCCCAGCTGCAAACAGATTTGTTAGTCTGCAATCTTACCAACAGGGTCAACAGGTAGCAAGAGCAACAACTAAAACAGCATAGCAATACTGGTACTGCATATTCATTTCCTGTCACTTCCTGCTATTTCCTAATTGCTTTCATTATCAAATTTGGCTGCCCTTTAAAAAATAAACAACAAACCAACAGCAAAGAATAAAGATTTTTGCGCTGCTATTGCCTTCCTCTAGTTTTCCGTCGCTTTTTTTGTATCCTTACTGACAACCGCCTTTCCCCGTAGCGTAGTGCATTGGATCACCCCTCTCCACGGTGACCAGCTCAGCAGGGCCGAGCCTCGCCACAGTTTCTACTTGTTCCAGGCTGGGTGTAGATGCCCATGAGCACTCTCCTCGACAAAGCCCAGCCCTCACCGCGGCTCCCCGCAGCGCAACGGGCTACAGGAGCCTCCCAAAGCACACACAGGCCCGGACCATAAACGGTGCCGGGGCGGCGCACGGCCACAAGCTGGGCACACCTGCGGGCACCCCGTGGCTCGGCAGCGGGGAGCTGGGGCCGCCGAGGCCTCCAACAGTAAGGCAAAGGAGTCAGGACTGTCACGACAGCGACATGCTACCGCGACACAGCTGATAAAGGGTCCCTCGCCTAGCGCCCGTCATGATATCACGGCCCCCCGTGTACCCCCACACCAGACCATTGAACTCCTAAGTGCCCGGCGACACCCACCATCCCCCTCCCAAGCGCCCCTTCCCAGCTTATCAGCACTCACTCATGGCCGGCGGCTGCTGCAGCGCCCGGCGCCGGGGGTGCAGCCCCGACCGGCGCGGAGTGGCCCGCCCCGCTGTCAAATGGCGGCGGGCCGGTCTGTTGAGGCGGAGAGGGGGTTGGGCTGGTGTGAGGCGGTGAGCGGGTTCTCGGCGTCTCGCGAGACTGCCGCCCGTTGGCTCCTCCTCCTCCTCCGCGCCGTGAGGGAAGTGGCGGGCGGCGGGGCGCAGGGGCTGGGGTCGTTATGGGGGGCGAGTGAGCCCGGCCTGCCGCCGCCGGGATCCGGGTGGCTGGCGCGGCTGCGGAGCGCAGCGGGGACGGGGGGAAGGAGGGAGGAAGGGGAGAGGCGCTCCCCCCGCCAGCGCTGGGGGAGCCGTGGTGCCAGCGGCGTAAGTGGCCGCGCGGGGGTCCCGCGGCCTCAGGGGTGGGCGGAGCGGGGGGGGCTTCGGCCGCTTCTCCCACCCCCGCGGGCGCCGGCCGCGGAGGCAGGAGCTGGGCCCCGCGCTCGTCGCGGAGCCGGCGGCGGAGGAGGAAGCGGGCGGAGGGGCATGGAGGTCGCCTGGGCGCAGGCGTCCGCGCCCGACCCTGTCTAGGGCGCCCCGTGGGCCTCATTCCTCCTCCTCGGAGCGAGCCCGCGGGCGGGCCCGGGCGCGCCGCGGGGCGGGGCCGGGACTTCTGCATCAGAGGAGGAGCCGGCCCAGGTAAGAAACGCTGCCCTTCCCCTGCCTCGAGCCTGCGTGCGGGCCGGCACAGACCTCGCCTCCTCCGCGCCCCGCCAGCCCCTCCTGCCTGCTTGGCCCGGTAAAGCTCTCCTTCCCACCCCAGGCGCCCTGCCAGGCTAAACATAAGAGGCAAACTCTTGGGCCAGGACCACTGGGCTTGGCTGGTGCCGAAAGGGGTAAACTGTGCCTCAGCAGCTGCACCTGTTGCTGAGAGAAATCGTCCCATCATCCCCCTCACGTGTCCCCCCCCAAGGTTCTGAACGCAGTTGACTTGTATGTCATAGAATCACAGAATGGTTTGGGTTGGAAAGGGCCTTGATCATCTAGTTCCAGCCCCCTTGCCTTGAGCAGGGGCATGTTGCTCAAGGCCCTGTCCAGCCTGGCCATGAACACTGCCAGGGTTGGAGCATTTACAGTCTTTGTTGGTTTAATATTTTAGCTTATTAAATGAGCTCATATATTCTTTGGTCTTGTATATTCTGTAATTAATCAGCATTTGTGTGGACAAAATAGATTTTTGCATTAGAAATATGGAAGCATCTGGAAGTTGGGTAAATTTGAGGAGTGTTTGATCTGTGAATAGTGGTCTAAATAAGTCTAAGATTAGTCTAAACTAGTTAAGATTAATTTTCATATGTAGTTTGGGTCTTCAGGTTATGATGTCCATCCTAACACAAGATCTGATGTTATAGTTGCTTCAGAAGTATTTCAGCGATGCTATAGGAGAGCAAAACCCAGTCTGTTGTGAAACAGGAAGGTGTACCGCACTTCATTGCAGAGCTCCCAGGCTTCATAGTTTGGACGAATATCAGGGTGCTCCTGTGAGTCTCGCTTGATAAGAAACGCATTATAATTTCAGACTTGGTGTACCTGTCAGTGAGAGATCAAAGTACAGATGCAGTTGTTGATTTAAAAACAGAAAGATGTATCTAGCAAAGTGAAGGCTGAAAAATCAGAAGTCTGATGTTTATGCAGCTTCAGAGTTTGTATAGCCTAATTATAAATTATTTCTTTTTCCATGTTGCTTATTTTAGGAAATAAGCTTTAAATAGGAAGCAGTTTATGTACTTTTATCCCCCCCAAAGTATCCTTTAATTAGAAAAGTGGGGAGGATAATAATGTGCATTGGTCTTACCTTTTCAACACTGTACTTTTCTCAGTTTTTTCCCTCCTAAGGTTAGGAAATAGAAATCTAGTATTCTAAATACATACGCTAGGAAGAGTTCTAAAGGATATGTAAAGATATGTTCTTAAACTGGAATTTTGTTGGTTGTATCTTTTTTTAAAGCTTAGCAGTTTTATAGGAGCTAACATATGTAATGCATAATCTTAACTACTGCAAGAGGTAACCTTTGAAATGCGTAGTCTAGTAAGACAATTTTTACACTAAGTTGTACAGTAATCTTGATATGATTTTTTTCCTTGCTTTGTACAATTTGCTAAGATTTTTGTATCTGCTTCTTTTAGGAAGAAAATGAAAATCTTTTCTGAGTCTCATAAAACTGTTTTCGTTGTGGATCACTGCCCATATATGGCAGAGTCCTGCAGGCAACATGTGGAATTCGATATGTTAGTAAAGAATCGCACCCAAGGAATTATACCTATAGCACCCATATCAAAATCACTATGGACCTGTTCGGTGGAATCATCCATGGAGTACTGTAGAATAATGTATGATATTTTCCCTTTCAAGAAACTGGTAAGTTCTGGCCCCACTGCAAATGATACTTTATAGCATAAGGGGTATTTCCTCATTTTATTGTAGTCTTTTAATATTGTTAGCTGGTGGTTAGATTAAAAGATTCAATATAATTTATTATATAAAAATTTCTTTATGCTGTTGATACACTTCATAGCTATTTAAATGGGTTTGAGTAGTATATGAATTCCAGTATGTGTTTATTTTTGAATCCTTTCATTGTCTTAATATCACTTTGTAAGTCGGTGCAAAGCATGGAGAGGTGCTTTAAGGTAACTTGCAGATATTGTGTTCTCCAGAGCTATAAGTTTACGAAAGCTTGAGTGAGGTATTGTTTCAAATTGAATTTGGTTTCTAAACATGCTTGATAGCAATGCATAAGGTTTTTGGTCTCAACTTTGAAGTAATTCTGGGCTTTCGGGACGGGTAGGGTTGCCTTTCAGTTACCAGTCTGAAAAAGTAGGAGAGCTTCCTGGCACACAGCTCCTTGTTTAGAAAAATAAATCCCTGGTGGGTTCTGTAACACTGTATCATAAATTAAGATACTGATCCTTGTTTTTTAGATCTTTTCTTACTGAGTAAACCATTGTGCAATGTCCTAAAGGTTAGTTACCCTTAAAAAAAAAAGAAAAAAAGAAAAAAGAAAGTAAAACATCCTTGTGGCAGTGATATTGGCCCAAAATAGGGATGGTGGAATACTGGCTATGTAAGGGAGCAGTTGAGCCAGGGACTGGCCCTAACAAGTACATACAGTAGTCCAGTGATTTGATGCATGTCATCTGCACTGCCTTGATGGATTACACGTCCTGGTTCTCAAGACAGTGAATGTTGAATTTAAACTCTGGAACATTCAATATACAGTCAAGTCCCATTGTGGGATTATATCAAGTGTGTGCTTAATGGATTTGAATCAGTTGGCTGAACTGAAGCCTCTAATCTGCTCTCGAGAGACCTCACTTGGAGTATTGTGTGCAGTTCTGGTGTCCTCAACATAAAAAGGACATGGAACTGTTGGAACAAGTCCAGAGGAGGGCCACGAGGATGATCAGGGGGCTGGAGTACCTACTGTATGAAGACAGGCTAAGAAGGTTAGGGCTGTTCAGCCTGGAGAAGAGAAGGCTGTGTGGAGACCTTATTGCAGCCTTCCAGTATCTGAAGGGGGCCTACAGGGATGCTGGGGAGGGACTCTTCATTAGGGACTGTACTGACAGGACAAGGGGTGATGGGTTAAAACTTAAACAGGTGAAGTTTAGATTAGATATAAGGAATAAGTTTTTTACTGTTAGGGTGGTGAGGCACGGGAAGGGGTTGCCCAGGGAAGCTGTGAATGCTCCATCCCTGGCTGTGTTCAAAGCCGAGTTGGACAGAGCCTTGGGTGACATGGTTTAGTGTGAGGTGTCCCTGCCCATGGCAGGGGGTTGGAACTTGATGATCTTAAGGTCCTTTCCAACCGTAACTATTCTGTGATTCTGTGGTATGGGAAACTCAAGTTAAGGTGGCAGGTATGCTTCCTCTTGACTTTCTTGACTTTTTTGTCGTCATTAGAACTTATGTTGCTATGTGATATTTAGTAAATTTTTGCTAGATATTTACCCTTGTGATCTGCTGTGACAGTCTTTGGAGAATGACAATATTGCAGTATAATACTTACTTTGTAGCTATTCTCCTGATAATTTTGCCTAATTATTAAAATTCTTCATAATACCATGCAATGCTAATTTGGTTTAGAAACCAATTTAGTAGCTTAAAAATATAAGCAGAGTAAGAAGTTGCTAACCGTAATGTAACTGAATGTAGTAGGAGTGGATGCTTTTTGTGGTTTTGTTGTCTTCTTTTTAGTTTGCCTGGTCATTGCACGTATCTCCAGAATATCAGAAGAATGAGGGTGTAATTCATATTTGTTTGGATTTGGGGAAGTAGCCATAATGGCTGTTATCTGTATGATTTGATATAGTAAGATCTTACATGTGCTTTTTTTTTTGATCCTTTTAGGTGAATTTCATTGTGAGTGATTCTGGGGCTCATGTCTTGAATTCTTGGACTCAAGAAGATCAGAACTTGCAGGAGGTATGCTTTGTAACTGTCCTTTTGGGTTTTAAGTCTAGATTAATTGTGGAATAAACAGCAGCTTCTTACTATGTTATGTACGAAATAACTTTAGTTAATTAAAACAGCGGACCTGATCTGAAATTGTGTAATAGAATTTTAAGTAGCCACCTGTGAGGATGGACTATTCTATAGGCAGCTTTACTTAGGTTAAAAGGAATCCAGTAGCTTTGAGTATAGAGTTACATATTAAATGTTATGAGGAAATTACCTATGTATTTCTCCTGTAATTTGATGATACTGCTCAAATTTTAAATTTGGTTTTCTTTACATTTGCACTATAGGCAAATCAACTGTAAAAAAAAAATGAATATTCTATTTGCTCTCATGTTGTTTAGTGCTGAATGGGCTCATCCTCTGAAAAATTTACATTTACTTTGGGGAGGAACTGAATTTCCAGAATCTCAGAGAATAAAAACAGGTGGTAACTGATAATATTAGAATTGATTTCAGGTATTGAATATAACTTGTTATTATAGCCAGGTATTTTTCAATAAGAAATGATAATATATAAGGCTTTGTGACACTTAATAAGTGAATTGTAAAGGATAATTTAGGGCCAGATGTTTTCAATAAGATTGGCAGCATATAATGGTCTTTAATAGCTCTGTCTGGTTTTCTCTCAATATTAATTTGCATATAAAATCAGTTATAATGATGACTTTTTCTCTTAGGTGAACACTTTAACAAAGGGCTGGAAAGTAACTTTCAGTAACAATTTTTTTCTTTTAAATTAGTTGATGGCAGCATTAGCAGCTGTTGGGCCACCTAATCCTCGGGCAGATCCAGAGTGCTGCAGCATACTTCATGGTCTGGTTGCAGCAGTTGAAGCACTCTGCAAGATAACAGAATACCAGCATGAGGCTCGAACCATGCTCATGGAAAATGCAGAACGTGTGGGAAACAGAGGAAGAATAATCTGTATTACTAATGCAAAAAGGTATGTATGATCCTGTGCTTCTACCATTTGCAGAGAAGTTCTTTCATAAATTTTTAGAAGCCTTTTGTTGATTGTCATGATTTCATGCTCTACATAGCTAGCTTTTTTGTGGTCTTCGTTAGATTCTTTCTTGCCTTATTAAACATTTCATCTAGGGTGGTCTGTAACAAATCAAAGATTTCCTACGTGAAACAGGAGGGCATTTAGTGGCATGTTCCTTTGAATGGGAGGATTGATTATCCTGCATTAAAAATAAATATAAAATGTCTTTCTAGTGACAGTCATGTTCGGATGCTTGAGGACTGTGTTCAGGAAACCATTCATGAGCATAACAAGCTTGCAGCTAATTCAGATCAGTGAGTATACATTTTACAAATGTAGCTTATCATATTCTGTGTGTACCTGTTACCTCCTCTGTGAAATACGGATGTATTTTTGTTACTTAAAATTTATTCTAATGAACTCTTTGAATGAATACCTGTGTGAAATAGAAGTTGCTAAATCATATTGTTGACTTAGAGCTGGAGTGTAATCGTTAGCTTTTCAGTATCGTCATTTATCCCCACAGGGACAGTACAGTATTTTAGGTTGTTGCATTCTACATCTTGCTCCAAATGAAACATGTAACTGTGCCTTGTTATATATTGGGTATTTGTAATCAGTAGTGCATATGATGCATGTTTTCTTGTTGGCACTGCATTAGTTTTACATTCATCTTCAGCTAAAATAGTCAACTTCTTTGAAATTAGCTTTTAATTTCTAAATTACTGTGTTGCCTGACACTTCCCTTGAGATAAAGATACCTCTTGAGATACAAGTTGCGTCTCCAGTGAGAAGTCATTTTTCCACTGTGTGTTTTGTCTAATTAAATGGTAAATCGTTTGGCCCAGGGACTGTGTATTGCCTTGTAAAGTGTATAATAGGTTGAGATCTTATTCTTGGTTGCTCCTTAGGCACTTAAATAGCAGAAGCAGGAGTCTCCTATATTTACTTGCTGCAGTTGCAGTTTCAGTGTGCATGAAGGATACTGCCCCAGAGAATCAGGTTCCAAGTCCACTGTAAAGACAGAAAAATTATCTCATTCCTGTAGGTAGAGATTTGGAACAAATGTTTTGATTTCTCCAAATTTCCAGCCACCTAGGGAGACAAGCATGCTATTTGGGGAGTTGTTTTCATGTTCACTGGAATCCCCTTATTAATACCTGTGCATGAACTTGGAGACACAAATCCTCTGTAGTGTCAATTTTCAGTTGAATGAAGCTGAACGGGTTACACCAGTTAAGGATATATTCCACCAATATGTCTCAAAAGAAACACAGTGCTGTAGTATCTGAAGAACTAGAAATGTTACACATTTTTTTTTTATTCTGATGAAATTATTTTAAAGTATGTGCTTTTGCAAATCATTAACCTAGTTTCTACAGAATGCTTTCAGAAACAGTATGATACATCTGTATGATTATGTGTTTCTGAAATCAGATAAATCTTGGAAGAATTGATTTTCTAGGAGATAGCCTACAGTGCGGCAGACTAAATAGAATGTTTTTATTTTTAAGTCTAATGCAGATTCAGAAGTGTGAATTGGTCTTAATCCACACGTACCCAGTTGGTGAAGACAGCCTTGTTTCAGATCGTCCTAAAAAAGAGGTAAGGAGTTTAAAATGAGGAAATTTATCCAAGGATGAGTAATCATGTCAGACTTGAAGTAGATAGTGCATGTTAAATATTCAGCAGTAATATTTTGTGCTCTGGTCTCTGGTAAGGTGTAGGAAAAAGTACAGGTGATAATTTTCAGAAAAGTTGACAGCATGCATATTGTCATCTCATGTATATGCTTTTTCTTGGTTTGTAGTCTTAGTGCATACATGATACCCCTTTTTTTAAATTTCATTACTTTTTTGCATTAATCATTCATGATTCAATTTTGGTTTTGTGAAGTAAGCCTCTTAATGCTACAGAATTACAGTCTTGGGGTTTGGTTTTTTTGAGAATGAAGCGCACATTTAGAAACACAGTGGGAAATGATCAACTGTGTGTTGAATAGGTTAGTTGAGTAACTTTCCTGCTATTCAAGCATAAGCTGCTAGCTAGCACAAGCCCTGTTTTCTCAAATCTGTCAGTGAATGATGTAGATACTGTTAAGCACTGCGTTGTTCCATGTTATCAAGACTAGCATGTTAGTGTTTTTGGCCTTTTGATTGAATGGTTTTCTCATGAAACCAGAATTAGCTTTTTAGTATAAATTCTATTGTTCCAGTGTTACCAAGCAGAATGCCCTTTTAATGAAAAGTGTTGGAAAGTGTATCTGCTTCCAAGTGAAAGGGCAACATTGTAGGAATGTAGAATATGCTTGAAGTTCATCAAATACTTGCAGAACCCTACAGATACTTTTAAAGATTATTTTATGAAAAGAGGAAAGGATGCATGTAAGAAACCATTCTATATATTAACATCTCAGTCATTCAGTAACAAAAGCATATGTATATAATCTGTGGACTTGTATGCTTAGTGGCGGTTTGAAACCAAGTGCTTCCAGAATATTTTGTAATATATTCTGTTCTTCATCAGTCTACTTTGCTCAGTATTTTAATGTGCTGCTTGTAAGGAAAAGTCTTAAGTTTAACACGAAAGGCATCTAGTCCTGTGTATTATTTGTAGTTGCTACATTCCTGAGATTCTTTTCTAAAAAAATCTTTAGTTGTGCTAAAAAAACCAAACACCTGTGTAATCTGAAGAGAATAAATGGACTACTACTTTCCTATATAAGAGTCATCTTTATCACTGTGTTGGTTTGTCCTTATTAGTTAGGGAAAAATCGAATGTATCTTCTGGCTTGCATCTTTTTCCCGTGTGTGTGTGTGTATATATATATATATATATATATATATATATGATGCAGCTATAGGTAGGCATATAAAAGCTAGTTTGTTCCTGTTACTCAGCAGGTAGAAAAGCAGGAAAGCTAGGCCCAGAGGGGCTATTAAGAGGATTTCTTCTCCATGTTGTGATGCTGATTCTTCCTATTAACAATTAACAAAGCAGGTTTTTAGCACACTTCTAATTTACTTTTTTTTTACGATTGGTAGCAACTGGAACAATTGACACAACCAGCAAAATTCTGAGTGAGAATTAATTTTTGCTTCTTCCTTCTTAGTTTTCCATGGAGTGTGGGTTTTTTGAGTAGTAATTTTTGCCCCTGGTCAAATTTAGTAGTATAAATGGTGCTTATTTTAGAGTTTTAAATGAATAATACTATTATGTGGTAATAGAGCGTAATTCATTAATAATATCTACTCTCTGTCTGTTTATCGTAGCTTTCACCTGTTTTAACCAGTGAAGTGCACAGTGTCCGTGCTGGTCGTCATCTGGCTACGAAACTGAATGTTTTAGTACAACAGCACTTCGATTTGGCATCAACCACAATAACTAACATTCCCATGAAGGTAATACTGTGTCTATAGCTTTGTGTTAACTGGCTACATCACTTCTAAATTTGTTTGAAAACTCTTAATGTTTATTTTAATTAAATTTTCACATTGTTTTTCTCTCCATATCATGTTTTCTGTTCTTTTTTTTTTGTTTGTTTGTTTGTTTTATTAGCCCACATTCAATGTCTGTGACCAGGTTAGTAAAAATAAAGGGGAAAAAAAATTGAAGAAGGATCACAGAACAATATGTTGTATTGCCGAATCTCTATTTTTGATGTAGCAATACAAGTGTTATTTCAGTTCTGCTTGTATTACTTTATATAAGTACAATCTTATTTACCTCAGATTACTTTGTCTGTGATTCTTTTGTCTTCTAGTTGTGTTTAGATATTCTTGACCCTTGTGCATTATAGTGGCATAGTGAGTCTTTTTCCTCTGTTTCATTATCATGCCCACCCAACATAAAGGTGTTTGTAACTAATAGCTGACTTTTGACTAAAGGTTTTCCAGTAGGTTTTCCGGCTTGAAGATCCATAAACCAGAAACAGGGCATAGTGGATACATCTACTTAAGAAAGAAATCAAACATCTTCTGTTCAGAGTTGCTTATGTCCCTATTTTTAATTTTTTTTATCACTACTGGGAGGGAAATCACTGCAACTAAGAATTTCAACTATTTTTAAATTTATAGTAATTTTCTGATTGGGCAGCAAGGGACAATTGAAACAGAAGTGTGCTTACTGTTCAGACAAAAAGGGCAGGGGCAATCAACTTTCCTGATTTAATAAAATTTTCAAGTTCAAATACTGTCAATCATTACTTGCATCTTTTAAAACTAGAAATACTGTGTGCATTTTATAAGTTAAAACATTAAATTAAAAATATATTTTCACAGCTTTTAATGAAATTTTGACATGGGTCATGGCATAAATGTGACTTAAGTTTGCAAATACCTTGTCTGTAACTTTCTGACCTGTGTGCTACTGCCTCTCCCTTCTGCCTTTGTCCTTATAGTAATAGACTATGTTGGGTTCTCTGTGATTTTTCCTTTATTTATTTATTTTTTTATCTTGGCATAAATTACCTAAGTTACTGTTCTGTTTTTTGCTAGTTCTCTGCAGCTGTTTAAAGATGCAGTGTCCTCTTTACAAACATCCATTTTTCAGCTGCAGTTATACTTGTTGTAGATATCTGAAAGTGCAAGGAAATGGTAATTGGAAGTGTGTTTTTTTTTTTGTTTGGATTCTTGATTTTTAGGTATGAAAAGTGCCAATCTATTCTGCAGTGACCATTTTGGCTGCTCAGAAAGTTGTAACTGCTAGTGGTATTCAAAATATTGTAGGCTTCCTTAACTTCACTGATTTCAACAGAAGTAGTTAAGCCTGTTTTTACCTATACTTTACACTATGAACCTTGTCAAGGCATTTCTATAAAGAGGAAACCAGGGTTTTAAAAAGGAAAAAAGAGGAAATGCAGATGGCTGCATCTTTAAACAGATCAGAGAGCAGACAGTTTCCTCAACATTGCGATCCCGTTGTTGTCTGAGGTACCTTGGAGGCTTTTTTTTTTTATTATTTCTGGAGTGAAAGGTAAATGTAGAATCATTCATTTATGAAAACAGAGACCTATAGCTAAAATAGTTATATTCTTTCTACCTTTCTTTTTTTAAAGGAAGAGCAACATGCTAACACATCAGCCAACTATGATGTGGAGCTTCTTCATCACAAAGAAGCACATGTGGACTTTTTAAAGAGTGGTAAGTATAAATAGTCTTCTAAAAGTGGCTTTTGATCAGCCTGCTTTCACAGAGATTGCGAGATATAAATTCTAGGCATGATTAGCATATTTTCAGTTATTCCTTACAACTCGAGAACTTAATTTGTAATGCTGGCATTGGAGTTTTACTCATTACTCACTTTAATGTAGTAATAAAGCTATACTAATGAAAAAAAAGGTCAAATTCATCAGGCGAGTTTTCACATATATTTAGTTTATATGTGTGAAGGGCATGTCAACTTTTTGAGGTACAAAAAGATGAGAGACTGGATGTGCTGTGATTTTGCAAAACTAAGTACCTCTTATGGGTATTTGTGGAAAATTATTCCTTGTACAATTAAACTTTTAATCTGTCAGGTAATAATAGGTGACATCACTTACATCTCATAGGCCTGTTTATGACAGTAATTGCTTTGGAAAAGATAATGGTTATTTGACTTTTGAGCTTTCTTACTGTGTTTGAAATACCTATTATAGTTTCTGTAAATCTAGAATTATTACCTAGTATTTCTCTGAGGTGAATTTTTAATAACTCAATTGAGGTTAGAAAAACACAGCAGTAAGCCTTATGCACAACTGTTTTGTTACAAAACAGTGCTTGATGTAAAATTTTGTTAATAAACCAGGCTAAAAATTCTGTATTAGTAGAATTAAATGTGAAGTGGTGGTGAAAAAACCCTCAGCCTGTGCCATTGTGTTATGGAATACATCGACTGTATGCCTTTTCAGTGCTGAGGTCTCATTTGAAGCGTTTAAAGGCTTGTATATACTCTGTTTTAACTTACTCCAATGATTGTAACTTCTGTTACATGATTCAGTGCCATTAAAAATTCAGTCTGGTTTACTATGCAGGTGGAATACATGTAGGCTGTAGATAGTTGTTTCATTATCTGAAACTACTTTATATAGTTTTAAAGCATATTAGAAAGTTCATCATGGTTTAATTTCTAAGAAGTGAAAAAATTAATGAATGAGTTCTATCAGTTATTTAACTAAGAGTGGATGCTTACTTTCTGAAGTTTTAAATCATGTTCCATAAGTAGGCATTTTAGGGAGTTTGTGCTTTGTTTTCTCTTAAGGGGATTGCCATTACTTTGAGGAAAAGGAGGTAACTTATTATCATCACAAGTACCGTGCACCATATTTTAGTGGAGTGTATGATTAAGGGTTGAGGGGAAAAAATGGGATGCTACAGTAATGAATCAGACTCGCCTGAACTTGTGTTACCATGTTGAAAGCATAATGCTTTATTGTAAGGGCTCAGAAATAGTTGTCTAATACCTATTTGTTTAAAGAATAAGTTTGCTAGTAAAAGCCAAAAATCAAATTCTGACAGCAATTCCTCTTCATTTTTTTCTGTTCATAGATTCTGTAAATTTGGGTTTCTTTTAATTTGTTTTTAAATAAATCTTTCAGCTGTAATAGCTCTGGTGCAAGAAAAATAAGAATTCATTTACATTGATCTTATTTCTGTGGAATGTTGCTAGAGGATTTTTAGATTAAATAAGTTTGTCCTTCAGATAGTGAGAGGTTTTCTAAAATGATTCCAGTTATTTTAATGTAACTGAAAAAAAAAAATCAACTTTTGCAAGTTACCTGCATGATTAATAATCAAATAAGACATATATTTTGTTATTAAATGTCTTCATGAAATAAAAGAATGCTTCTTACATGAAAGATTAAACTGTAGCAAATAACATGTAATATTGCATGTTGATGTGTGTCTCATTCCTCCTAGTTGTGGTTTTGAGCATATTAAGTGACTATGCTACAGTAATTATGAAATTTCATGCAAAACTCAGTTAATTCTTTCCTGAGAAATTGTGTGTCAAAGATCATGAAGAACTTACTAGTAGAAACGTGGTTTAATGTACTGGGGAGTATTGATGTCTGATTTAAGGCCTTTGTGTAGTTTTTGCCAGACCACACCATCAATGAGACATTCTATGAAAGTATTTTAATGATAAAACATCTGTTGCCAGTAGAGCATGTTGAGAGATGTTCAGATGGAATCTGACATAGCAAAGATACTGAATGATGAGATTAAATACTTCTTCCCCCCAAAAGCCCATCTTGTCAAATGTGCCTTTAGATCAGTTTCAGTTTTGACATGGGGATATAATTTGTAATAAAGAAATGATAAGCTCTAACATTTGTTAAAAGTTCTGATTTCTGTGTGGAAAAATAAAGAAGATATTGTCCTAAAGTCCTGGGCATTTCAGAAGAAAAAAACCAACATATCTATAATTTTCTGAATGCTGAATCAAACCTGTGGAACACACTCTGGAGCTTCAGTATTTTATTTGCTGGGTTGGTTTTTAAAATATGTGCAATGGCTGCTGATTTTGGAGTTTATTTTTTAACTGCTGCTGCAAATAATTTTTTTGCTCAAGTTGGGTATCTGACTTAAAAATTAGATTACATTTTGTATATGCTCATGTTACAAATATTTTGTACCATACAATTTAGAGTTTTTTATTGCAATATAAAAAATATGGTTGATCACACACTTTTTCTGACTTTATATTTCAGGTGATAATCATGTAGGTGGCAATAGTAGAGAAGGCACATTTAAAGAAACTGTAACATTAAAATGGTGTACTCCTCGGACAAATAGTGTGGGTAGGTGACATGACATCTTACAAAACTACTATTCTAACTTGTGTTGAACACTGTTCTCTCTCTACATGGAGAAGAATCTGAACAAGGAGGTAATTTGCTTCTTGTTAATGCTGGTTTTACCGTCTGCTCTATAAACCTTGCTGCTGACTGCACCCTGATTTACTAATGGTCATAGAATGTTCTTCTGATCTTGGCTAATTAGTGGTTTGGGTAAGAGGTGGGAGGGGTTTTGCTTCCTGGCTTTTTTCAATCTCTTCTTAAGTATCATGAAGTTGGTCATTGACTACAAGGTTGAGTAATTGTTTGCCTTTCCCACGGGGCCAAGTGTAACTTGTCAGTTCCACAGTTTTAGCATAGCATCTTTGACACATTGAGTCTTTTTTTGTTGTAATTCTGAGGGGAGGAAGGAGAGATATAATCAAAGTACTGTCTTTAATCTTGAGTGCTAAGTAAAAAGTTTTATAAGGAAAGGACATGTATGCAGTGATGCTGTCAGTGGACTAGTCCCTTAGATTAACTTTCCGATTAAAGTAAGGGAGAGATCTCTCTCCAAATCTAAGTAAAGGAGAGCAAGACGCAGAAGATTTGGGATAACATTGGAACCCCGTGGCTGTTCAGCTCGTGTACCCTTTATACTGTCAGCAAAGTATGTTGACTCTGAGCCAGCAGGTCAAAAATACAGATAAGAAGTAAGAGGTGGCTGACTCTACAGTGAAAAAATTCGGGAGTTAAAGAACTGGAGGTCCTGCTGGAAATGGAACTTGGAAAGTATTTTAGGTTCTCGGTGTTGAGGATACTGGAACACTTGCGAGAACACTGTAAAAGGAGCAGACTTTTAGAGACAGCTAGACCTCTTAGTTCTGATGACTGCGGAATAGCCTTCTCTCCCTTTCATTTTCAGGATGTTTTTCTGTATGTGATACTACACTCTTAACTTTTCTATTTATTTTTCAGAACTACACTATTGCACTGGAGCATACAGAATTTCACCAGTGGATGTAAATAGCAGACCTTCTTCATGTCTTACAAACTTTCTTCTTAATGGTAAATTTGTGTCCTTGGCTAATTATTTAATTTTTTAATTGTTAATATTGTGAATGGAGCACTTCACACATTTTAGTTTGTATTGCAGTCAATGTCTGTATACTGTAAAATACCAACTTTATTTTGACATCTTGTATAAATAAGAAAGGTGTTAAATGTACTCAAAGGCAAACAGAATGTGTTTTGAAACTTGAAGATGGTGGGGAAAGATGTAAAGAAGGAGTAATTATTGAAATGTGGTAGTTCTTTCTGAATCCAAATGTAGAATACTTCTTACTTCATGCTGTTTAATAGGAAACAGTGCTTTCAGTAGTTGATAGTGCACTTGATCACAATGCTCATTCCGACTTGCAAAATATTAGCAACCTAGGTCTGTACCTGATTTTTGGCATTTGCTGGGCAGCCTCAGAAAGGTCTTAACTGGGTTATGACCAACTAAGCATGTTGATCAACTGAAGCAGACATACCCATTATGTGTACTAGGATCGGTCAGAAAAATAGGTTAGATTTGTTTATCTTTTGCTTATCTGCAAGATCCTGCCCGTTGCCATGAACAATCTTGCTGTAAGAGGTTGTCATTTAAATCCTGTTAAAAAGGTAAGCCAGAGCTTGTTTGTTCCAAACACATAATATGTAGTCTATGTTAATTTCATGTTTTTCTTACACTTAATTTTCTTAATTTCATGGATTTCTTACACTTTGCAAACACAACTGCGTTACAGGCATCCTTCTAGTAGGTTGTTTTCTTTAGCCAGGTAATTTGAATGTCTAAATAAGTATTTAGTGGTCTTATTAAATGTTGTTTTTATGTATTTTTCTCTAAAGATTCTGCACTGAAAAAGAACTTTGATTAATAAAAATGGTTAGAACAAAATTAATAGCATATTGTGGATAAGATCTCTCTTCTGATCTGTTTTTGCTTCCTCTTAGTAACTTGTTCGGCAAATGTACCTTTTTATGCTTTTACTGGACATAAGAAAAAGGCAATTTTATTTCTCTGGAAAATTGTATCCATTTAAACATTAACAACGAGTATCCATTGATACCTTTATACTCAAGTAGGCTTTATGTTACTTTTTAGAAGTTGTTTTTAATGAGACAGTTTCTGCTATAGGGATGAGTAAGTTTAGTATACAACATAATCTGTACTAATTACAAATAGCTAACTGCCCTTACACAATACCATTTTTAGTATTTTACAAATATGTATTTTTCCTGTGAGTGATGTCCTACAGAGAGAAGTGATTGGTCCAAGAGAGAGGCTTTTTGATTTTCTGTGTAAAATTTAAGAACATGTGACACTTCTGTGTAAAGACATGGAGTGAATACTCAAAGGAGATAGCTGTTTCCTGTTCAGCTAGGTGAAAATTCAACTTTAATGGATTCATAGTCGTGCTGGATAGGTACAAATCTGTCTTGTATAGATTTAGTTTTTAATCTGAAATTGCAGCACAGAAATTAATGAAGCTGATCTCACTTCCAACAGGTCGTTCTGTTTTGTTAGAACAACCCCGGAAATCTGGCTCTAAAGTAATCAGTCACATGCTCAGCAGCCATGGAGGAGAAATTTTTCTGCATGTATTAAGCAGCTCACGATCAATTCTAGAAGATCCCCCATCAATTAGCGAAGGGTGTGGTGGGAGAGTCACTGACTACCGGATTACAGTAAGATTCTCTTTCTTTGTTCTCTTAAATTGGCGCTTATCTCAGTTGACAAGAGATTTAGTGCAATAGATGTGTAAAGGGAATGTTGGTACATTTTCTGGAGAGCTGGAGTGGATTGCATGGTGAAACTGTTTTTCTTTGTACTACTGATAGCCATTTAGTATGAAGTAGCACATCTGCTTATTGTTTTGCCTGCCTCATAGAATCCTTTCCTGTCAAGGAAGTACTTGCCTCCTTATGCACTATGAGTATTTAAAGTTTGTTCTAATTCTAGAGTAACATTTTTCTTGACAAGTTTTTTCCGTGGGCTGGATACACATGTGACTGTGTCCTGTTTATTGTCAGAATGGTTGGTACAATAAACAGAAGAGGTGTTGTCAGCTTTGAACCGTGGATATAGAACAAAAAGTCAGCTGGCATTCTCCCCCCCCTTTTTTTTTTAACACATCTTTTGTATCTGTTGTAAACAAACAAGAAGAAGTGGCTTCCAGGAAAACATAAAACTCTTTACCGTACATGAAACACCTTGCAGATCCAAAAGGCCTCCTTATCAAAAACCTTGCATCAATTTTTAACCCATATTTTTATAGAACTGTTTTTATGTTCACCCTGAATAATGTACATCTGAAAGCTACAAACAGGGCTTTGGTTGCTAGACACAAATTTAGCGGTGGGGATGGTACATGGTTAGTGATAAGACTATGCTGTTTTGCCCATTCCGTGAAAGTTACTTTGTTAGAGAAATGCCTAATTGTATCTTGTTTGGTTATCATTAGGATTTTGGTGAATTTATGAGGGAAAACCGATTAACTCCTTTTCTAGAGCCCAGATATAAGATCGATGGAAGTCTTGAAATTCCATTGGAACGTGCAAAAGATCAGTTAGAGAAACATACACGTTACTGGCCTATGATTATTTCTCAGACTACCATCTTCAACATGCAAGCTGTAAGTTAACCTGTGGTTTGTAACCTTTCATTCTCTTCTAGGTAAAGCTTCGCCTTGCCACTTGATGAAATATTAACTGTATTTTATAAATCACTTGCCACAAATCAGTTTATTTTCAGCATTATTTTCACTCAAGTACTCTGTATTTTATGTCGATAGATTCTATTCAATAGACAATGATACCTAAATAGGGTAGAATATTGAACCTGACAGCTACAGTGCTGCTGGGTAAAGAAAGCATGGGTCTGCGTATACCTGCTCAGAGTTACTACTAAACTGAGGATAAGAGGGAGGTGTTTTTGTTGCGTGATGTTCCATTGTTCCCTTGCCTTTGTCGCAGGAGAGAAACAGGAAGAAAGAAATCATAGATTTTTCTTGTGTTGACTTATATTTTGTTTTACAGGTAGTGCCATTAGCCAGTGTGATTGTAAAAGAAGCAATGACTGATGAGGATGTTCTGAATTGTCAAAAAACAATATACAATTTGGTAGACATGGAGAGGAAAAATGATCCGCTGCCAATTTCAACAGTTGGTACCAGAGGAAAGGGTCCGAAAAGGTTACATGCGTATCTTTTTGTTGATGTTGGACTTTTTTCAGAAATATTCTGTTGATACTGTTTTCATACCAAATTTTAAATTCAAGAAGTTTGGCCAAAGATAAAATGCAGCAAACTGAATGCTGTACGCCCGCAAAACAAATGCCTACATCATTTAGGGGCTACCACAGTACTGATACTGCTGTATGTTAGGGGAAAAAATACATAATTTTATTAGGCAGGATTTGTAAGTATTTGAAAATATGAAAGCAAAGGTAGTTATCAAGAAAGGGAAAAGACTGATACAAGCAAGGATGGAGAAAATGGAATAATTTCAGATTAATAAATGAACTATGTTTTAAAATTGGGTTACATTAGGATAGTCAAATCCTTTTGAAGATGTTTAAAACTTGGGCAACTCCTTTAAAACAAGCAATGATACCTCAGTCATTGTCTTGTATGCATTGCATTTCTAAGAACTGGCTGAAAAAAAACCCTCAGCTACAGAAGATTTGCGCCCATGACTGGAAGTTATTTACAGTAGCATGGTACAATTCTGTCTAAATTTCTTTTTGTCTAAAGAATTAAATGCGAACCAATGTCAGTACACGAGTATGCGTATGCTGACATTGCATAGGTAGCAAACGCCTGAGAGAATTCAGAAGTGCCTTTTGGCAGCGAGATCTTGTGGGAGTTAAGAATGGGATTTCAGTGGACACATTCTTTTTCAATTTAAACTTAACTCTGGATGTTAGCTGGGAAATGTTACATGCGGGGTGGTTTCAGGTTTCAAGAATGGAGTAATTCCAGTGAACAGTGTCCACGACAAAAGGACAGAGAATCTGTTTGGAGTTATTTTTTAGTTTTAGGTTTTTTGGGTTTTTTTTAAGGTGTATTTTTTAACATTAATTTATTCAGTGATTTAATGATCTAGGTAATTCTATATGTAATACTTGGTTTTTTTTCTGGCCTTACTTAGAGATGAACAGTACCGGATTATGTGGAATGAGTTGGAGACCCTTGTACGAGCACACATAAACAACTCTGATAAGCACCAGCGAGTCTTAGAATGTTTGATGGCTTGCAGAAGCAAGCCCCCGGAGGAAGAGGAGCGCAAAAAACGAGGTAGAAAGAGAGAAGACAAAGAAGACAAGTCAGAGAAGTTGGGCAAAGACTATGAATCAGATAAGCCATGGCAAGAATCAGAAAGGTAAATTTTCTAAAGTGAAATAAAACTGTAGCATAATCATTTTTGTCTGGCCCTGTTGCAAAGCAGAGAGCAATTGTGGTGAACCAGTTGTTGACTTCAATTTGATGTGTTCATGCTTTTAACCTTGGCTTACTACCAGTGAGTGTGGATCCCAAGGGTTTTTGCATCCATCACCCCTACCAGACTTGGGAAATGGGCATCTCATTACAGTGCCTGCTTATCAGGCTTTTCAAATTAACACATTTTATGAGCAGTATGATTCTTGCACAAGTTGGTGACCACTTAGCAGGGCTTTGCTGCTTGAGGAGTCACTGCTGTTTGATTTTTATTATAGCCACACCACCTATTAGACATTAAACAGCTCTATAAAATATGAAGTGTGACTAAAAACTTGGGACAGGCAGGTATTTTTGTCCTGAAAATTGGGTTAGTGTTTAGGCAGATAAACCAGATTGATTTGGCTCATTTACATTATTGTCACTATGCTGATGATGTTTCATGCCTTTTTTGTGTATGATCAAATACATTCCTACAGTAAGATAAAGGAGATTGTGTGGTATTTTTGTATATTGATACTCTTTCCTTCAAAATTCTGGGTGATTTTATGATATAAACACTGCTAGCTAACTTAGGTGACATTATATTTTAAAATCTTTCCCTTTACTTAAGGGTTTATCCAGAGGATTATTTGGCTTGTCCTCCCTATTGCTTTTCACTCATTCCAAGGAGTCACAAGAAATTTTCTTACGATATGGGTTACGTATAACTTTGAGAAATACAGAATGGTGTCAAGAATCGTATGTGCTGAACTAGCATATTTTTCTTCACTGTTTTTCCTTTCCTCTTAAAAGGTTAAAAGGTCTCTTGGATCGTGAAAAAGAAGAACTAGCAGAAGCTGAAGTTATCAAAGATTCACCTGATTCTCCTGAGCCACCCAACAAAAAGCCTCTTATTACAATGGATGAAATGCCCACAGTTGAAAAGGCAAAAGGTAAATCAGAAGAATTGCAACATCTTAGATAGAAGTTGTTATATCAATCTGTATTTTGTAAAGTAATGAATTGAATCTTACTGGAGTTAAAGCCAAGTCAGTGAGGATAACCTTTAATTAAATGCTCAGTGTTGAAGAATACTTCGTAAATATGTTAACTCTTAGAAAAAGAGGTACCAGGATACTGTGGGCATATACTGATAAGTTCTTGGGTTGATGGGAGAGGGTTGCATGAATTTCTGGTAGTGCTTTTTTAGCTACTCTATGTCAGAAATGCTGTTTAAGGACAGGTATTAAAAATCACTACGTCCTGCTGACTAATAAAAACATGCTTTAAGCAGGATAGTTGTCAGAATGGGCAGTTCTCACTGACATTGCTTCCTTGGTGTGAGCTGCTGTCTGTTGCAATGGCTGAGCTGATGTTCAGATTCTACATTTGAAGCAAAGTAAATCTCATATGAAGCAACTACTAAGCTGTTATCACTGCATATTTTTTATTTAGCCTCTATCAAAAGGTTGTTTAATATTAGTGGTTTTAATATGTTACACTACCATAGTTTGTAATTTCTTATCTCTGAAATGATGTTTAAGACATCAGAAATTAAATCACTTAGACTCTTATTTGCAATTTTAGGGCCAATGTCCTTGCTGTCTTTATGGAGTAACAGGATTAATACTGCCAACTCTAGGAAACACCAGGAATTTATTGGTCGTTTGAACTCTGTCAACAATAAAGCTGAGCTGTATCAACATCTGAAAGAAGAAAATGGGTTTGTATCAGTGAATGCATCAGTACAAATATCTTGGCAGTAGTTAGTGTGCAATATGGAGGAATAATACTTCAGTTACAGCACTAAAAAGACTCCTTACTCTCCTGAGATTTAAAATGTATGCATTTCTTCATCTCAGTGCTGACAAACTACAGTTCTGTTTGCTTTTCAGTTTGTATTTGCTGAGCAAGGGTGAATGCTGATAAATGGTCTTCCCTGGGCCTTACTGATTGCCCTTGCAGCAAAACTTTTAAACTTCAGGTGTTAAACGGTAGCTAAATTGAGATGTCTTGTGCCAGTCTGTTGCACGTTTTAGCTTCAAAAGGAATGGCTAGTATAAAAATACTGTTGATAATAGAGTGGTTGAATCTTATGCTGTACTGAAGTTGATAGTGGTCCATGCTCTATACTAAAAAGTACTGAAAAACCAAGCCAGTTTACTTCGGTAAATAAGATGGTGGTAGTCAAGGATCCATGTAAGAAGGCTGGTAAAAATTAAGAACTTGAAACAAAACTTGCTAAAGCTCAGATATTCAAAATTGTTTTTCTGTAGTGACATGAACATGGACTTTTGTCTTTTTGGTTGATAATGAATAAATTTTTTTGCAGTTGTTGCTGGAAAGTTTCTTTGCAAAAAACTTTCCTCTATGTACTGATCCTTAAGCATTAGAAAGAGGTAAGACTGTGTATGTTGGGGGCAGGGAGAGAGACAGGATGGTTAGCGAAGTAAAAATTAATTACTAAAATATCAAAGTCTAGGGTTTTTTTCCTTCCCTATTGTGTTTCTAATAACAAGCTTTACTAATTGTTATCTTGTGTTTCAGAATGGAAACTACAGAAAATGGAAAAACAGGCCGGCAGTGATGATCAGTTTTGTTTCTTTGAACAAGACTTGGCTGACTTGCAAATATATTTAATGCTGGAATAGATATTGGTACCATTTCAGTACAATTGTATAGCTGTGGTTTGGTTTTTACATTTTTCTATTCTTATTTTTGCTATGAAATATAAAATCGGCATATCACGTTGAATGAATAGTGTGCAAATAGGGGCTGTCCTGAAGTATTTTCCAGTCGTGTTTTTAGGCTGAAGAAAACCTGTGCTGCCATGGACTAAATCAAATAATCAAAAATGTCAGTCAGTTTACGGTCCTTTCCCCCAAGTATTGTTTCATATTTCGAAATCAGTGATGGCTGTTAAAAAAAAAACCCATATTGTTAATTTTGTTTGATGAATACTTTTATTTATATGGAACTTCATCAGGAGTCCAGAATGATGGAAAAGACTGCACACCGAGTACCTGATCACTGAGCTTGTTTTTCAACTAAGGGGTGGGAGGAAGAGCGAGTGGTTTTACTGATTAAAAACTATTGTTTTAAGTGATTTTTTAAAATTGACTGGAAATGATCGTTAGAAAGCAAAGTCTTTCAGGTGGTTGTGCTGGAGTTAAGTCTTTGTAAACAAAAGTAAAATAAAATTTTTGCTAATCATTAAATTATTTTTGATGAAGTATGCCCTCTGAGACACCTGTGGTTTTAGCTCTAAGCTTTTTGAATGTCACTGGAATACCTTCTGAATATTGATGGCTGTGAAATGGCAGAGTGGGTGATCTGCCTTTAGTTTCTTTGAGTAGAGCCTTTTGTCTTAATGAAGTAGAGTTCTTGAACGGGAAAACTCTCACCCAGTGTCTATGATCTAATCCCTTGCAAGATTTTGGGTTGCTTTTCAAATGGGTTGACTTGAGTGGGCTAAGGAAAAGATGAATAGCTAAGCTCTCTGAGTGTATCTGTTTACTGATCTGCATCCATTGCCTTACTCTAGCTTGTATAAGCAACTGAAGGTCTCACAGATTTGAGATACTATCATTTCAGTTAATTTAAGATACATCTGAGAGCTTTTTCTAAAACTATGTGAATATATTCATATTTCTTCATGCCAAATGTTAAAATAGTTTGACTAGATCTGAACACAAATAACATTCAAGTGTACTTTGCTTACATTGATAGCTGAGTCCTTTCTTCAGCTGTGTATAGTTTCAAGGTGATTTTTTAGTCACTGTGATGCAGATGTTCTAAATGATTTTAGAACCATTTTACACAATAATTAAAGAGTACTTGCATGATTTTTTTTATCATTCTGAAACTTACGTAGCATTTGCAGAAGGAGTGTGTCATTTTTGGAGACTCTAAAGTCAGAAGACTTTCATTTTCAGTACTTAATTGACAATAGGATGTCCTGTATCACCACATCTGTTGATATCTCATATTCTGATGGAGAAAATTACCATGGAGTTACTGTTTATTGTAAGCTTTTGGGTTTTTTTAAATAAGGTTGTATTGCTTATCAGTCCCTTATTTACTAAAGGACTGTTGATGTCTGCAACATACAGAGCATGTAAATGTCAGCTTTCTGTAATTTTTTGCTGGTCTAGAGAAGTGTAACTGAAAAGTTTATCCTGTGCATGGGGGAATTGTGTGTTGCATCTCTTGATGTGCCATTAATTTGCAGCTGCAGTCCTTAAATATGCACAGTAATTAAATACTTCATTAGAGGAAAAGAAAAATTCTGCACCTGCTGTTAAAATCCCTACTTGCTTTGCATGGTTACTAGCTACATTTCCCACTTTGGAATCTGCCAGGTAAGACTGTTAAGTGATTAAATGAACAGGCCCAAGGTAGTTAGTTGTCTGCAGACCTGTATTCTAAATACTTGAACATTCTTACTGAAACATGAGATACTACAAGAGCTGATGTTTCCTGTAATAATTAGTTAGATTTATATTTTACCAGTCTTACATCAAAACTGTTGACTACACTGAATTACCGCTGCTTTGTTGACTTTTACATTAAACTTCAGAGCTGGTTTACAGCTGCATGGCTTCTGGAAACCATTGAAGTAATTGTCCAGAAGAATTTGTGTTTATCCTGACTGACTGCCATGCCCAAGATGTCACTCGATGGTTCTAGTGCCTTTGAATTTCAATGGAAACATTTTGTGATGGTCCTGACAGTTCGGTCTCTTTTGTGTAAGATGTGTATAAATCAGGGAGTCCTAATAGAGTTAATTTTACTTAGTACTGCCTGTGACCAGATTCTCACCAGCATCACCTTGGTATAGTTTTTCTTGTTCATATATAGATTCCTTTGTCTGCTTTACTTGGCGTTTTGTCTTAGTATATAGTTTCAGGGTTCTGATTTTGCTAATGCCTCTTCATCAGGCATAGGCTAAGTGTGTTCTATTTTAAATTGAAAAATAAAATCACTATCTGCCATGACTTTTTTTCTGAGTAATAACACTAGTCTAGTACAAATTGTCTTTTTGTAGATTTGCTCTTAATGTCATTTAAATGATCTCTTAAGTCTGTGGATATTGCCTTGGTCATTCTGTGCAGTCAATCCTTCTTGATAACAGGGAGGGAGTTGATACTTTGGTGGCTGGAAGGATGGTAAGCTGTGAGGCAGTCTTATTGCCCTAGAATACTGCTGTTGAGAGGTAAGTGGTACTGAGTGTGGTATCCATGACTGTGGTGAAGGTGAAGCCCTGCACTCATGTACAGGTGCTTTGCGAGGTTTCAGGCCATCCAGTTCCATATTGGCATGGCTTAGCTGGGAGTTCCTCTGAAATGACTTAAATTGTGGTCCAGGAATCTTTCTGTGGTACTTGCAAAACCAGTAAACCAATATTATTAGAACCCCAGCAGTGGCACAAAGACTGCTTAGTAAGGCAAATGGGGTCTTCCTAATTGTGGTATTATTCTTGTCTTGAAGTGTAGGCACAGCGCTGTTGTAAGACCCATCAAATGGCTTTGTGGTGGGAAAGCAGATTTCACCATATGAAACATTGAAGATAACATCAATTTTGTATTCTGGTAACATTGCTTGGACAAAGCGTGGGCTAACATACCCATCTGGTACTCTTAATTTCTCTAATGCTTCCTGGATTTCATCTTGTGCACACCAGCTGGAAGATGTGTTGGCATTTGTGCACAGTAGCCTGTTATACCAGGAGATTACTGTGGACCCAGGTTTGAGAGTGGTCACCATGATGTCTTTGGGACTGCTGGAGTTCAAATAGAGGGACAGCTTTTCTAGAAACAAATTAATCCTTTTCCTTTCTCTCAGGAAAGAGTAGTAGCTGTTTTTTGTTCTGAGAGTGTAAAGATGACATGGTACATTGGTGGGCTTCAGAAGCTCAACAGTGAAAGATTCCCAGGCAGTCAGCCCTCCTGAATCCGTGGCAGACAGCACAAATTCCTGAGGTGAATACTGGAAGTCAACATCAAGGGGGTAGCCGTGCATGGTTTGCTGAGAGGTGTTAAATTGCAGCCAGCTTTCTGATCCCAGTGGAGAGCCATCAGCTGGAATGATTTGTAAGGATAACTGAGTAGAGTTGCCATCTTCCTCATCGTAAAACATATTGGCAGGTACAGGAAAAAAGAAGAGGCATCCAATAGTTGCTGTTAGGAATTTAATAGAATGAACAATCTTTGGGGAAGAATTTGCTTGCCCTTTAGAGAGGAGGGAGAAAAAGAAAGAATTACAAGGAAAAAAAATAGCTATGTTAATAATAGCAAATCTCACCAGCCTCATGGGGTAATAGAGCAGACCTCCAGAGGTCCCTTCTAGCCAACCTCCTGCTCAAAGCGGAGCTCTCACCAAGACTAGTTGAGATCAAGCATGCCTTTGCTTCCCTGTGTGACTTGTTCCATTGCCACATTACCCCCAAATAGAAAAGTTTTCCTGACGTCTGAAGCTCCTGAGGTGCAGTTTTGTGGCCATTGCCCCTTGTATCATCTGCCATTCCTAAGAAGTGTCACATGGCCCTCTAAACTTCTTTTTGGGAAACAGAGACTTTGTTTAGGGTGAGCAGAGCTCTCAACTGTTTTTCCTGCATTACTTCCCTTTATGATGGACATTGTAAATCATTCTTTTGTATGAAGTAACTGAGCACTAGCATTTACAGCATCATCCTTTTGGAAGACAATTTGAAGTTGGTTTGTTGTGTTTTTTTTTTTCTAAAAATCTGAATGCATTGAGGTGGAAATGTGTTGGAATCTAGAGTTTCATCCTTAAATGGGGATCATGTGCTAATCCTTCGGAAACTGAAAATACATGGGTTATTAACAAATCTAAAATCCATCAAAACATTCGGTTTTGTTTAATCTGTATTTTTGCCAAATGGAATGCTAATGTATTAACAAATAATGAGAGGGTAATGTCAAAAGCAATTTAAAAGGTTAGAGGTTAGATTTTAGTCTTAGATGAAATTCAAAGCTAAAACAGAAAACAAGATAATTTATCTTAAAATCTGCTTTATGTCATGTGATAATTATGAATGTCTTGTAAATCAGAAGCCAGCCACTTCAGCTGTTGTCCTTTCTTAGCTTGTGTTCAGCTGGGTGGGTTACATCTGCCTTTTCAAGGGACAGCGTGCTCATCACCTCACGCAGCCTCTGACTTGCAGGTGACAATGGCAGATGCTAAGAACTGGCAAGGGAAATTCTGGACTTGCCTCACTTCTTACTGAAACTTTAAAGTGTTGTCCTTGATCACATCTTGACTACAACTTCATTTGCCTAAGCATATCTAGATATATGTTTAGCCAGTTGTAAATAACATTGTTCTTTAAAAGTCTAACGTATCAGGTCTTGTACAGAGATTTCCCAAAAACTAATATCTTGTTCTAGTTACTTTTACACAGAAACATCACAATGCGTCTCTCAGGTGATGCATTTATTTTATGGTGGCAGTTAACTCTCCTGTTTCTTAATGCTTTAAATATTGAAGAATAAGGGAAGTATTCCTATTATTGAAAAGCTCTTGCTTGATTTGTGTGTGTGTGTGTATTATGGAAAGCTTATGTAAACTTCCTGTATGATTAGATAGTCTAAATTCCAAGTCTGAATGACAGTTTGAAGCTGACTAGTAGAAGACTGCCTAATACTGTGATGCTTTACCTAATGAAGGCATTAGTACAGGTATCTGATTAACAGGGCTGTCATCAGGTAGTACCTTGATTTGGCTTTATTCCCAACATTAGGTTTGCAGGAACCCCTGGGAGCCTGCTTGCACAAGCTGAGGTCCTGGGAAAGTGCAGCAACTCATGATTATTTCCACATGAAGTGTCCTTTTGGGAAACTAACACAATTCCAGAAGAAACAACTCTTAATTCTGCAAAGAACTGCTCCCAGCCCTGATGTCTTAGTGCTCCTTTATCAGATTCTGAAATGGAGCTCACATCATCAATGGAGCTCACATATGAGGTAATTATTAAACATGTTATTGTTTCATTTTCTACTTACAACACTAACAATGGATTTTTTTCATTTTTTATTTTTTTAGGATTTAGTGAGAATCGTTCTGATTTGTACCATTGGGCTGTATTTAGCATGGAGAATAATTTTGGATTAATAATTAAATTCAGGTGTCTCAGCATTACCCCATTCCTGTAGGTGGCAGCCACCCCGCCTGAGACAGGATTATTTTGCGTGCTGCACATCTGCCTAACTTGAAGAGCTCCTGTAAGCTGTAGGATGATAAAATGTGACAAATTTGATAGGCAACCTTCTCTTGGTGACTGTTAGGTGAAGTTGGGTGGCAGGCTCCTGGAGTAAGGGAGATCAGGATACAGGGTGTTCCTGCAACCTGTGACAGGAATGGTCCTTTCTTCCAGCCATTTCTGGAACTCGTGTGTTTTCTCCACTTCAGGGATCAATTTGCAAGATTGGGTAATGCCTTGTTATTATGTTCTCCTTATATATTACCTAATGTAAATAATAGGGATTAATTCAGAAGGATGTGAATCTTTAGGTCAAAATATTTTGAGGTCTGCATGGGTTCTAGTATAGGAATCCAGAAATACTTTGCATGATGGATAAAAAGGTTGATGACAGCTATGTTCAGAAGTAAGAGCATGGAAGTAAACTTCTTACCTGCGGTTATATTCTGAAGTTCTTGTGAAAAAGAAAATGAAGGAAGAATCCATGTACTTTCCATGGACTGTTGTAGTCTTTCAGATGTGGGAGACAGCAAGGCGCTTGGATTCTGATACGATGGCAGTAGTGTTTGAACCACCCCTGTGAAAATGAGAAGATCATTACAGTTTAAGGTAAAAGATCATTTAGATTTAGGTAAATGGGATCTTACGTTAATAATTTGCTCTAGGGTCGGAAATGTGGTTCAAGAGCTTTTAGGGCATGTGTTTGAAAACTCTTTGCCAGCATGGGAAGGAAGCTAGAGTTAAGTTTCCCGTTAGAAAATGGGGGAACTCTGTGCCAATGTGGCTTCCTTCACTGGAGCAGGCAGGTATTTTTTTAAACATCTCTATATGGCCTGTGTTTGCAAGACTGTTAATTAGTATTGTGTTAGGGCTGTGTTGTCTGTCTGTGCGCTTTGACAGATGTTTGCTTGGACACCTGATTGCAAACCTGAACATTTCAAATCAGTCTTGTGCTGTGGGTATAGACTTTATGCAGGTCTAGTAAAGTTTTACAAAGTTGGTGGTTCTGAAGGGCATTATAACATGGTCAATGCATTAAAAATGACCTACGTGTTAGCCAAAATCCAAGCGGGGATTGACTGAACAGTCACACTACCTTTAGACAGCAGAGCTGAAAGTGTTTTCTAGGGGCTCAGGAACAGTTTGGGATCTCTCCATTCCTAGTGGAAGGCCTCTTCCAGTGCTTACCATTCAAAGACGTGCAACTGCATCTCTACAGGACATGGCTGTTTCTGAATAGTGAAACACCTTTCCAAGGACTTCAGTGTGAGGTTTCTTTATGTGCACAACTTACTACTTACGCAAGAACATTCCATTCCAAAATTTTAAAGGTTTGAGCAATTCCAGTTCTCCTGGTTTTGATTGGATATGGATACATGGAGGAGCAGGATCATGAAATGCAAAGAAATGTCATTACGAATTCTGTTAAAATACCTAATTTGCCATGTTTGGTTTCTTAGTGGGATAACCATTAAATTATTGTAGCTATCGTAATACATTCCCTATATCGTGTACAATAGTCTTTATATTAAAAATCATAACAACTGCATGTGCTGTCTGTACAATTGTCAAACTGCACACAATATGTTTTCAGTTGCCTTATTCTGCTATTGTGGAGGTTACTCAGCTATTCCCTATGCCAGTGCCTGCATTGTTTAAATAACAGAAGAAAGGAAGAAGAAAAGGAGAAGGAAGAAGATCATGAAGACTTACTATCGAGTGTACTATCAGCAAGTTTGCTGATGACACTAAGCTGGGAGGGGTGGCCGACACGCCAGAAGGCTGTGCTGCCATTCAGCGAGACCTGGACAGGCTGGAGAGTTGGGTGGGGAATAACTTGATGAAATATAACAAGGGAAAGTGTAGAGTCCTGCATCTGGGCAGGAACAACCCCAGGTTCCAGTATAGGTTGGGGAATGACCTGTTAGAGAGCAGTGTAGGGGAGAGGGACCTGGGGGTCCTAGTGGACGACAGGGTGACCATGAGCCGACACTGTGCCCTTGTGGCCAAGAAGGCCAATGGCATCCTGGGGTGTATTAGAAGGGGGGTGGTTAGTAGGTCGAGAGAGGTCCTCCTTCCCCTCTACTCTGCCCTGGTGAGACCTCATCTGGAATATTGTGTCCAGTTCTGGGCCCCTCAGTTTAAGAAGGACAGGGACCTGCTGGAGAGAGTCCAGCGCAGGGCAACTAAGATGATTAAGGGAGTGGAGCATCTCCCTTATGAGGAAAGACTGAGGGAGCTGGGTCTCTATAGTTTGGAGAAGAGGAGATTGAGGGGTGACCTTATTAGTGTATATAAATATATAAAGGGGAGTGTCACGAGGATGGAGCCAGGCTCTTCTCAGTGGCAAACAATGAAAGGACAAGGGGAAATGGGTACAAATTGGAACACAAGAGGTTCCACTTAAACCTGAGAAGAAACTTCTTCTCAGTGAGGGTGACGGAACACTGGAACAGGCTGCCCAGGGAGGTTGTGGAGTCTCCTTTTGGGACATTCAAAACCCGCCTGGACACGTTCCTGTGTAACCTTATCTAGGTGTTCCTGCTCCGGCAGGGGGATTGGACTAGATGATCTTTTGAGGTCCCTTCCAATCTCTAACATACTGTGATACTGTGATACTGTGAAACATACCTGATATGCTGCTGGACAGTTGAGAAGGGGCATTAAATAAAGTCACCAGAGGTACTTCTACAGCATCCAACTTGATGTCTGAGATTTTGTGTGACTTCAGGGTAGGGTTGGTGGTGTTTGACAATATCCATGTTCCCAAATCTCTGTCTGGTTTCAATTCCTTCGTGCTGCTGGATAAAATACTTGCAGACTGTATCTCTGTTCTGAGAATGTTACCACTGTAAGAATTAAGCCTGTTTGGTGGTCTGGATAGCTCAGAAGTGTCAAAGCTAGAAAAGTCTACTGGCAGAGTAAGAACTGGAGTGGTATTAGGATGGGACAGAGTGATCAGACTTGGTTCATAAGATTCTTCTGCTTTACTAGGGAATGTGCTGTATAACATGCTAGAAAAGCAGGCTGAGGCTTGAGGGCTGAAATTCAGTTTAAATTCAAGGGTCTGTGCTTCTCTCTGAGTTACAGCAAATGGAAACCCACTGGGCTGTGGAATAGTCATAAAAGGCTTAAACAACTGCTCATAGTCTTTAGCAAACACTTGGCTCAAACTACTGCTTGCTAGCACCAGTGGAAATGTGTCATCAATGGGAAATGTAATGTCAGATGAAGTCGTGGCTCTTGCTGAAGCTTTTGGGAATAGTGAAGGAAGTCCTGGAGAGAAGGATGCACTAGAAAGCATTTCAAGTTCTGGAAAGTGGCTTTTTGCCTCTTCAGTGTAATCTGTCATTTCTGATACTGATGCTGCTTCTGGCAAAAATACATGAAATTCTTTCTTGGAAGGAAGTATGTCTGCTGAGCTCTGCAGCTGTTCATATAGAGTGTTTATCACCCACGTGTACGTGGGCCTGGAAAGCTGGTCTCTGTCTGAAGTGATGTCCTGGAGGAAGCGGTATGTGGATACTTCTGTTTTACTGTAAAGGAAATATGAGTCTGTTTCAGGCATGTAATTCTCCAGCTGCTCTAACAGCAAGGACGTGTCAGAAGCTCTAGTGGGCCGCACTTCCAGTTCAGTGAAGAAAAGTGATGTTTTAGTAGTCAGTGAAGGTGAAAGATCTGGAAAATTAGAGTCTGCAAACATAATAGATACTGGTGGTTTAGCTGGCATGTCCCACACTGAATTCATTTCTAAGGTGACCAAACTTTCTTGACTTATAATAAGATGGATATTATTCTCCATCTTGTAACTTGCCGTTGTTATACTTTCTTCACAGAAAGATGATAAACCCTGAGTAGATGTTATCACAAGTTGTGTGAGTAAGCAGCTTGGCACAGTGGAGGATAAAGGCCTGGAAGCATCTCCTCTAGCTAGTCTTTGGGTAATTGTAATTGGTTTTAATGTAGGTGTTGGTGTGATCATTAATCGCCTACGTTGTTGTCCTGGAGACTTTCTTTCATAATCACCTCTCCTAAGTATTCTCCAGCCTGCAATTTCATATCCTAGCAGCTCTGACAAGTGGTGTGAGTCAATGTTCTGTTGCAGGACTTGGATGAATTCATGGAGCATGACAAATGCTCCACACTTTACAGGCCAAGAGAGTCCTACATAGTGGTTCACTGTAAAGTCAATGTGTCCAGTGTCTTCAACCAGTACAGTCGGGCTCTGCAAGCCTCTGTGTGCCAAATCTGTGTATTGTAGCAGGGTCAGTAGGGAGGAATCGAGGTGGAGATACTCAGCCATCGTGCACACGATGTAGAGGCGTTCCTGTGCTTTCAGGGTTTCTGCTCCAGTAGAGACAATGATTTCAGCAGAAGTGATCGGAACTTGCTTCCCACACCTGATATTGAAAATCCAAAATTGTATTGGTTAAGAGATGTTTATCTGCCCTCCTGTTTTTGTGAAGGTACCTGTTTGGATTTAGTCTGTCATCTTAGGCAAGTGCATTACTCAACATTTTACCTTAGGCCAGAAATTCCTCCTACTGGATATGAATGTTTCCTATTTCATTAGCTTCAGTGAGCCCTAACTTTGATCCCATTGGTTGCATAGAACACAGCAGCATGGTATGAATTTACCAAACACTATCCTCATTATCTAGACTCGGAAGTAATTCACTGAAGAGATATTCCCAGTCTATTAGACATCAGATGTAGGTACTTCCATTAAAAAGTACCATCAGCGTAAATAGTGCCTTGTGGAAGCAATTCAGAGCCTGCCTCTCTGCCTGCTGACAGAAGAGCTCCAGTTCCTATCTGCGGCAGGGAGGTTGTGCACCTGGAAAATCAGTGCCCTGGCACTGCTAGACTTGCAGTCTTCATGCCTATGCTTGCTGTGCACTACAGCTCTGGGGTGACAAAGCCTCCTGCTTCTAGAGTCAACGTGTACTCATTCTGTATTTCTTGGGTTTTGTTTTGGTTTGTTGTTGTGTTTTTTTTTCCGGTGTCATGTTTCTGTGATAGGAAAAAAACACCCTGTGCCAGTTAGAGAGCACATACCTCTTTTTAAATCTGTTTTCCACACACACTGATTTGAATCTGTTTCACACACACACACTGAGGGCAAAAGCTGTTGGAAGCTAGCAATACTCACTGGAAGTTGTTTGGCATTTGGTTCAAGCTTCCCTTTGTGTCCAGGAATAAGATGCTGTCCTTAACATGGATGGTGAAATTTCCGGCAGCTCTTGGTGTTTTCTGAGCATTTTGCCCTGCAGATGCAACTATGTTCAGCAGGTATACTCCACTCTCCCCTGCCATCGGCAGCCCTTGCAGCATGTTTGTATTGGGGTTGAAGTCCAACCATTTTGGCAGATCTGCACCACTGGCTAAAGTGACCTGCTCCATAAGAGAATGACAGATAAATAGAGTTAGAGATAGGAAATAGTGTTGCTGAAGTTTTACACATTGCAAGTTCTGATTAGACAGATGTCCAGGAACAGCCACAAATGATCCATTTAAGAATCACACAGTGCCTTGATTTTCATGAAGTGCTTGTATTTTTAATGTAGTGGCAACACTATTAATTTTTAATGCCCTGCATTCTTTGGGCTGCAGGTAGAAAAAAATACGTGTTATGTGGGGCTTTTGTTTGTTTGTTTAGTAGATAGCTGCTATGTTGGCAGTGAACGATGGTGAGGTTTTGCAATTGGTTCTACTTATTTCTGATATGTGAAACTTCTAGAAGGAGATTTTTCAATGAGTTCACTTTGAACATAGAATGAATGCCAATTTGTTGCAGGGTTGTACCAAGAATTGTATTTAATAACATTACCTTGTACTGAGTTATCGTTCCCTGAAAGCCAAAGACTGGCACTGGGTAATAGAATATTTTTCCTGTAAGGATGGTTGCATCTGGGATTCCTTGCAGGCTCTTTGTTTCTTCATGTCTGTTATTTGATCCCTTAGCAACCACAGCAGATGTGTTTACATAGACAGATACCAGTGCAAAGAGAAGAGGGAGCGTGGGTAAGACTTGTGTTCCCAGGAGCAAAGGGGACCCTAAGGCAGGAAACTTGTTGAGGGTGCCCACTGGGTCCTTGCAGGCATCCATCCTCACACAGTGGGCTCATGGGGCTGCTGGCATCTGGGTGCTGCTACTTCATTTTGTGTCAGAGCTGTAGGGGAGAGAAAAAAAACCAACCCAAAGCCATATGCACACACACTTCAGATCAGCCAACTTCATCTCGTGGGGAAGCGGAATATGTGGCAAAGCTTCACACTGCATTTGTTACAGCCCTGCTGGTCTAACTGCTCAGGCCACAGTGACAAATGGGAAGGGTTATAGGATTTTCAAAAGCCTTGGTACTTACCATTGCTGCTCCATTCAGCTGAAGGTTTTTCATGAGAAAACACCAGGTAGCACAAAAACAATTAATGATGCTTTTTAACCCAGTTTCCTTCAGACTCATGTTGCTCCCATCTCTGCCTCTGTAATGATAAAAGCCCACTTGATCTCTAGGATATGAAATGCTACACTAGGGCCTCATCAGGGGGGCCTTCAACATATGGCTTAGAGGAGAGACAGATAAACAGCACAGTAACCTGACCCACCAGGTTTTTGTGGTATAGTGGTAGCAAAGGGAAAGGTGAGTGTGGCATGTGGCAAACAAACTGTGAAGGTAAAGACAAGCTCTGACTCAATAGCCTTTGCTATGTAGGATGGAGGGCTGGACTTCTGACTTGCTACATTTGAGGCTTCTTACTCAAGGGGAGATAAAAGCACTAAGTAGTAAAATAGTTCCTGCAGATGTGGGGCTCTCAAACCTGAGTGGCTTCCAGCTTTTAGATGAGAAGGGTATACAGTATGCTTGTCTGTCCTGCTAAAGATAGCTTTCTGTGAAAGCACACAAGAAGAAAATAATTGTAGGCAGCAGCAAAGATGTTTACTAAACCAGTTGATACAGCTGGAGAAGCATGAAGCATCTTTAGGATCCAAATGACTACAGGAGCAGTGCAGTGAGTACTCCTTTCTTGTTACAGCTTTTATAGAAAGATGTCTTGAAAACCACAGCCCTCTTTGCATTGGCTCTGCAGACTCAGCAGCCATGTATCTTGGAATGAGGTCTTGCTCTGCTGGTTTTTAACAAGCATTTTCTTCCTGCTGTTTGTGGATGTGTTCGCATTGTGCTCTGTAGTAGCTGCAAGCCTTTCTGTCGTGCTCAATTGTCCAGATCCTTTCTACTTAAGTGATGAGTGGAGCATGCTCTGGATAGAGCAAGAAATGGTAATAGAAATCATTGTTCCTAAGTATTCGTAGGTAAAGACAAAAATTGTGTGATATCTCCTGAAACACAGTGGTTTACTAGAGGCTGCAGTGCATCCTACTGAAGTGTACTCTGACAAAAAAAAGGCAGAAAACCAATTGTCCTACAGAGAGGTGTACAGAGCAAAGTGAATGTGCTTGAGGTTGTTGGATGCTTTTGAACAGAGATAAATCTGTATCCAGCCAAGTCTGGTTCCATTGCAACTGTGACTGGCTCTGAATAAACCAAAAGTTGTGTTGTGTTTCTTTGTGCTGATCTATGCTGAGAAAAGTTGCTGCACACAAATCTCCATTTTCCATTGTTCATGTCTCCCGTGTTCCTTTCTTCTGCAATCTCTAAAATCATAATGGCATGTCCTCATTCACTGATTATGAAACTATGAAAAGAGCAAGTAGGTGGTGGGGTGGAAGTTCAAGTTGGAGATGAGAACTTTTGTTTAGAGCATATAATTCTTATGCAAGGGAATGGGTGCTTGACAGTTGACTAATCTCACCTAATGAATTTGCCTCCTGAGAGCTTAGTAAATATTGCCGTGTAACCATGTATGAATCATCAGTGTGCTCTAAAATGATGGGAACGCTCTCAGATCCCTTGTTTGCTGTGAGCTGAAAGTAGTCAAAACCACCTCCAGAAGTGCAACATCTGCCCCAATTCAGGGATCCAAAGCCCACAGACCCACCTGTATTTCAGGTGGGAAAATGCCAGTGAATGTTTCCCCTGTTTGGATCCCTTCTTGGTAACTTCTAATCTACTGGCTTTGACAGCAGCAAATGTCATGTATTTGCTCTGTAGTGTGAGATGAAGCAGTATATTTTCATGTTGCCCGTTATCTCGGTGCTGTGGATATAAACTTACTAAAAGTTCATGTGAACATGCTAGGGAAGCTTAAAATAGTTAGATTTTTAAAACTTACCCAGAGACTTTCTGTAATTCTCATCACAGTACAGTTTCTGAGCTCATAATTAATTTTTTCTGGGTGGATTGCAACAGAGGCATGTAGCAGTCTATTGGGTAAATGGCTTTTGGTAAAATCAGAAACCATCTAAAGGGCCATTCTATGGCTAAATGCAGGCAATCTTGTGGACAGATGTAACTCATACAGAAACAAGGGCTCCTGACTTACAGTATTTATTTCCCAAGCAGAACCAAGAAATATCAAAAGTTTTATGGAATAATTCTCATGTAACTTCATGACGAGGCTCAGCTGAACCAGATACATCGATAAAGGTCTGTGTCATTGAAAGCCCACTTGAATCAAAAAGGACTTTGGGGGGGCACATGTAAGTACTTGTAAAGGCAAAAATGGCTTATTTTGCTTCACTTCTAGCTTTAGACAATTTTTCCTACAAGTCTGTACTACATTTACAGAGGTATGATTCTGAAACTGGAAAAACCCCACCCCTAAATCCTTATATACACACCAGGCAACACACTACTACCTGCTTTTTTCAATATTACCTTTTTTCCCAAGACAGACTTCATGATCAATCAAGGGGGAGGAAACACAAACTTATAAAATGGAAATCATCGCTGACTTGTTTTCTTATGCTGCCCCTGCCTAAGGTGCTCTCTTGTCACTCCTGTTTAGAAGAAAGGGGGAGCAATTGTCCAACTGTAATGTTTAGCAAGGCCACTCGGAGGTGTTCAGGCTCTCATGCAAAATCCAAAGTTTTCTAGCATGGTTTAGTTTTCAGCCTTCACCACAAGGTTAATACTTTTACAAGGCTCGTTTCTGTATCTGTTAAAGCCCTAGCAGCTGGAATCCAGTAATTGGCTTGGCAATTCTAACGCCCTCTTAAGATATGTTGAATTTGGGCTTTCTCAGCTGCGGAGGAAATCTGGATATTTATCCCAGTATCCCCACAAAATGCAGAGAGTGACTTAGAAATAATAGATTCTCTTAGGAGGTTGGAGTCTTTTTTTTTAATGTGTGAAGCTGGCAGTGCTATCAGCCCTGCAGTGCACACCTTGGTAACTTGTGGGCAGTTACGGAATAGTTTGCGTTGACGTAACAGGAAGGCTGGTGGGAGCATGTTTTCTGCTAAGTTGTTCAGTACAGGAGATTTTCACATTTTGCCTTTGATTTCCATTATATTCCAGGAAAAGACTCTTGTGTTGGAGTTGCCTAGTAACATGCAGAGATCTGCCTACAAACTGGCTGTCAATGCCTCAAGTCTTAGGCAAAATGTGCAAAATGTTTTTATTTGGACTGTTGCAATAAACATATTGTCCCTTTCTAGGGAACAGGAACCTGGTAACTAGATGTTGGGAAGGGCATAAATGCATACAATGGAAGAAAGGAGCCTGTATTTTCTCGTCTGCCTAACCCAGTGTCACTCCTGGGTGACAAGCCAGCCAAAACTAGTGTCATCATAGTAACACACCTTTCTACTCAGGGATAAAAAATCTCAGGGCACGAGGCACACTGATGTCCACAATGTGTTCATTTTACCAGAGCCTTCATAAATATGGTCATTTCTAACAGCTC